ATACATACACACACATATACATATATGCATACACGCATACATACACACATGCATACACACACATACACACACACACACACACACACACATATGAGAAGCTGTGGACTCTGAGATAGGACAGCTACATGAAGGAGGACCCTGGCTCCACCTCATGGGTGTCCTTGTCCCGTCTCTCCTGCAGGATGGAGCTCTGCCTGATCCTGGTGGCATCCCTTCTTAGCGCTACCTTCCCTTCGAGTCTGCATGTGTGGGCTGAGCCAGGAAGGCCCCATGACAGCTGTGGCTGGACATGCAGAGTAGGGAGCTCAAGTCCAGCCCAACTGTGCTCCTACCCCATGTGGCCTGCACCCTGGAGAGGAGCTGAAGTCTCACGATGGGGCACAGATTATCAGGCTTGCGGGCCCCAAGCCATACTAAGCCACTTAGGAAGTCAAGGCTTGGGCAGTGTCCTATCAGGGCCACATAGGGGACAGGGCAGATGATCTCAAGACTTAACTTGAGCCAGGCAGAGTGGTGCATGGCTTCAATCCCAACACTGGGGAAACAGGCAAGTGGATCTCTGAGTTTGAGACCAGCCTAGTCTATGTACTAAGTACTAGTTCAGCCAAAGCTATATGGTGAGACAAAAAATAAAAATAAAATAAAAATAAAACAAAAACAAAAAACTTAGCATTGACTTTAGTGACTCCTAGGGACATCAGAAAAGCCCTTGCCCATTATCTAAAAATCTTCAGTACAGTGGCAGATACCAAGAAAGCCTATGTATACCCAGAAGCAGTATCAACAAGACTGGCAGAGCCACAGTGTAGAGCCTCAGCCCCTGCCCACCCCCTGCCCCATTTTCCTGAATTCTAGACTTTTTCTGTGTTCTTCCCAGGTCTGCACCCACTATCTCGAGCTGCCTGCCTACGCTCCCCCTCCTGGACAAAAACAAGGGCGGAGCAGAACCGTGAGAAACAGCCCCCCAGTGACCCAGAACGACAAGGTACAGTTATGGACACGTTCCTCACCGTGGAGGGGCCCAAGGAAGATTAGCCCACTCCATCTGTTCCAGAGTTGCTGGAGGGCTGGGCCAGACCACCATGATGGCAAATCAGGACAGTCCTGACACAAAAGACACATTCTGTCAACTCCAAGACTCCAGCCATCACTCGACAACAGGTTCAAGTCTGGGTGCCAGGCACAGGCCTCTGGGCACCCCAGCACAAGCACAGCCCAGTGGCCTTAGGTCCAGCTGGTTCCTGGACCCTGAATCAGGGATGACATCGTATGGAATCTCTGCCTTGGGATGAGAGGAGGAATGGAGTGGACAATGGTGGCCTCGGTCTTCTAAAGACTTGTCTCTAGGACAAGACGTTTTGTGTCTTGTGAGATTCCAAGTAAGTTCAAGGTACGGGGATCCAAGCCCATGAGAGCTGCCCAGGAACCTGTAGCGGGGTGGATATCCAAACTCGGTGAGCTCATAAGCCCAAAGTAGATTTGGTGGCAGTCATGAGCTGGCTCTACTGTCCAGCCGAGTGGCAGGGACAGGTTACTTCCCTAAGACTTGCACCCTTCCTCTGCTCTGGGCCGGTGCCATGGTTTGCAGTCTACCCCAGGCTTACTTCTGTGTGTCTGTGGGTGCGACGGCTCAAAGGCTGAGGAGTCACCCCTTCCTTCAGAACACCAAACCTGAGTTACAACTCCCCGATTGCTCGGAAGGACAGAGCACTGTCTCCCCATTCCTGTGTCTGTCATAAGGGCATCTCCTCTGCCTGTCCTCCACATCCCATGCCTAGCTCAACCACCCACATCGCCTGTCAAATGCTCAGTTGGGAGGCTCTGACACTGTGGATCTGTCTCGGGAGCAGTTCAGGGGAGGCAGGGCCAATCCAGCCACCCGCTCTGCTGAGACACTGGACCCTCAGTTCAGATGCTCTCAACACTACTTTCATGTGCTCAAAGACAACACTGACTGCTGCTCTGACCACGAATCAAAGACTGGTTTTAAAATAAAGGTTTACTTGCATTTTGTCCCTAGGCCACCCTGCCCTGCTGCTCACTGTCTTCTGAGAAAGACAAGGCTTTTGCTCTTCATTTGCAGTGAATGCTCCTGGGGAGGGGGGATGCCATGGGCTGCCTCTGGGGGGCTGGGAGCAGCCTTGAGGACGCTCCCACTTCAGAGCCCTCTGCCTCTGCACTGTTGACCCATAAATGTGGGTTATTTCTGCCTGTCTCCTGAAATGAAAACCAACCCCGGTTTCCAAAGGACACAGCCCAGCAGCTGCCTTTTAATCTCAAGGTATCTGTGAACCCTTGGCTCCACTCCAACCTGCCAGGGTCTTACCCCCACCATCCACTCTTCCTACTGCAGCTCCCATGGGGCACATTTACAGAGTGGGATTAAAGTATCGCCATCCCTGGACCAGTGGTCCTTCTAGCTGATATCAAAGTGCCCCTGGGAGCTCTGCTGTGCTCTTCCAGGCTGTCCTTATTTGAGTTGCATTTTAGGGGCAAGTGCCCTGGATTTCTAGTCCCCAACAACAAAAGGAACCACTAAGAAATAAAATGCTGCCAACTCTTCCAGCCAACAAAGGTGTCCTGAGCTGAAGGAACACTCTGTCCAGAAGTCATGGGGAAGCCCAAACCTTGCTGCTTAAATTAACAAGTGAAATGAGGTGATTATGAAGCCAGCCAGGAGTGACCACCTTTCTGCAGGCTCAGGTGACCGTGACTTTCCACACAGACAGTCAGGTCTACTGTCCATTTTCTGGGAATTCTAAACATCCCTGTCCCTTTCCCCTTTCCTCAGGGGGTAGCAGGCAGGGAGACGCTCTGTCAACCTTACTTGCTCTTAGTTCTGAGCGGGGAAGAATGGCCGGCTCACACCTCCTGCTGGCCTTTGCGGGCATAGTCTCAGGTGTCCATGGCAGGTGGAGCAGCACCAGTGTGGTGTTACGTGTTCTGCTGTCTGGAAATGGAGTGCTGTGACACACACACCATATGTCACATACAACAGACAGGAAAATGGATTTCACTGATAAGGTACCAGCAAAGCAAGAGGAAGTTATAGCTCTTTAACCAGCAACTTGTGAAAGAGTACGGGGAGACACCCGGATCAAACAAGGTGAAGGTGTGGGGTGGCAAACCATGGGGACACTGACCGAATAGGATGAGAGGTGCAGCCCAAGTGCGGTTAGATGTTGACCACCCCAGGTCTGTGATGCACAGGAGCCCTGCTCCTAGATCTTCAAAGGGCAGTAGAGGATCATGGTCTACTGAGCGGTGATTAGGGCCAGTGGTAGTTCCAGTCTTCCAGAGGCATACACTGCCTATCCTGCCCCGCTCCACCATCCCCATAGCCTGTTGCAGGCTCTGACACTGTAGATCTCCTACAGGAGCAGTCCAGGGGCGACAGGGTCAACCCAGCCACCCACCCCTCCACTGGTCAGTGACTCTGGGAAAGAGTCCCACAGATATGCCGAAGTAGCAACCTCAAACAACCCTGTGACAATGCTGGCTCTAGAATCTGTCAGAGTCTACAATGTCACAGGCCTTCTGGGGCCAAGGAGTCACCCCTACCTCATCAGAGGGAAGCTAATACAAGACCCCCAGGACCCTAAGTAGCTCAGTGACTGAGACCATGATAAAGGCTGAGCCCTGAAGATTTTAAAAATTTAATCATGTGGGGCTGGAGAGATGGCTCAGCAGTTAAGAGCATCAGCTGCTGCTCTTCCAGGACCTGGGTTCAATTCCCAGCACCCACATGGTGGTTCACCCTAAGCTTCAGCTCCAGAGGATCCAATTGGTATTGCCTGCACGTGGTACACATACAGACATGCAGTCAGAACTCCCATACACATAAAATTAAAAAATGAAAAAAGCATTTTATTTTTAAAATTCAGTAATGTACATTTTACAAACAGCAAAAGTTGGAAGTATCTGTCCCCTGATAAAATTTCTGTTTCTGAGGCTCTGAGGCAAACACAATTTAGAAATGTACTATACTATGTGCATTCAGTGTCTGGTCTTTATCCAGGCCCCAAAGAAAAGTTAAGGACGTAACGGTTTAAGAGGCAGAGGGCAGCTCTCTGCTCTCCTGACGAGTCAGCCAGGAAGCTGGAGAGAGGCTGAGCTGCTGAAGTGCTTGCTGCACAAGCATGGAAATCCAAGTAGTCAGCTGCACATCATCCATATAAAGGCCAGGCAGAAAGGGATACCTGTAATCCCAGCACTGGGAAGGCAGAGACCAGAGGATCCTTTGAGCTTGCTGGCCTGCAAATCTAGCCAGATTCAGTAAAAGACCTCATCTCAAAAAACAGGGTACACTGCTGGCAAGATGGCTCAGTGGGTAAAGGCAGGTTCTGCCAAGCCTGATCACTGTTAGAACCCACACAGAAGGAGGACAGAACTGACTCTCACAGTTGTTCTCTGACCTACACGTGTACCATGGAGCATATGTGTTCGTGTGCAGACACAATCACAACTAAAATGAAAAAAAAATCAAATAAGGTAGAAAGCAATTAAGGGCTGGGTGGTGGTGACACACCTTTAATCCCAGTACTTGGGAGGCAGAGTCAGGCAGATCTCTGTGAGTTCAAGGCCAGCCTGGTCTACAGAGCAAATTCCAGGACAGACTCCAAAGCTACAGAGAAACCCTATCTCAAAAACCAAAAAGAAAAAAAGCAACTGAGGAAGACATACTAGTCAACCCCTGGTCTCCACATAATCATATGGACACACGTTATCATATGCAGACATGAACATCTGTGGGCATACATACAAAACTTTTAAATAAGTCAAGGGAGCAAATGGATTCCTCCCCAGGGCGTGAGCAGACTGGAAGAGCTGGCTGATGCAGCTGATGGTGCAGCCCTGAGATCTGATCCCAGGGAGTCCCAGAGGAAAACCACAAGCACACTGTCGTGGAACCCTAGGACCCAAGCATTAAGGTCTTGTGTTCAGGCCTTACCACACCCCAGGATCAACAAGAAAAAGATGCCTCTTTTAGACCAAGGAGGCTTGGAGCTCACGAAGCCCTTCCTTTACTCAAGAGCTGTCCTACAAGATGGTTGATAAACAGGCACCAGAGCTAAGGCCACCAAGGCCAGGGACAGTCACACTCCCTCTCCTTAGCCAGAGATCTTAGCCTCTCCTGCAGCCGGGCTGGCTTTCTTTCCTAAGCACTGATCCGCTTAAGAATCTAGCCTTCCCCTGATGACTGGCTTACAGTTTCATTAATTCTTCACCAGACTTTATTGTGTTGGATCAAGGCTTAGCCTCTGAGCAATTAATTACGTCAGAGGCAAGCTATAAGGCGGCACACTCGGACACTGAATCAGTTCTGTGTCTACTGGAAGCTGATGTAGCTCCTAATGCCCTATACATGGAATTCCCCAAAGAAAACACTCATGGCTTCATAGAAGCCAGCGTCCAACTCCCTTTCTACCTGAACTGACAGACCTCTAGGTCCAGGGCCCGTGGCCTCTGGCCACACCTTGATTCCTTAGCTATTGCCTTGGATGGAGGCTGCCAAGTCCTAGCTCTCTCTTCTGTGGAGTCTAAATAGTCTTCTCTAAAACATCCCTTTGCAGTTGTCACCTATTTTAATTTGTTTTTCAGTTACTCTGACAGCTGTTCTGTAAAGGCTGAGCAGCTCCTAGCCAACAGTGGTCGAATAGGCCAATGCTACACAGGGCTCTCCTGTAAGCTCCGCTCAGTGCCTCCTTCCTCCCGTCCCTGATTCCAGTCTTTCAGCCCCTCAGGAAGGGATGTGTCCTCCTCTAGGCTGCCGGTGCCCTCTACAAATTCCTCATAGGTGGACTTCTCTGCAAAGGGCCGAGGGCCCAAGAGCTCCACCATGTCAGCCTTCTCCAGCACTTCCTTCTCCAGGAGTCGCCGGCTCACCTGAAAAGGAGAGCCACCCATGAGGCTGCCATGTCCAGGACAGGGATGTACCTGACCATATCCCAACCTGGAACCCACAACCTGGCTATGTCTGAGTGAAGCCCACTCACCTTCTCGACCTGCTCCCGGCACTGTGTGAGCAGTTCCAGGGTCCGATCATAGGCAGACCTGACAAGGTGCCGGACCTCCTCATCAATGAGCTGGGCAGTGGCTTCACTGTACGGCTTCTCCACCATGGTCTCTCCTTGTCTGGGGAGGTCAAAGGATACCTGGCCCAGCTTCTCGCTCATTCCAAATTGCACAATCTGAAGTACAGGAGGAGCCTTGGGTTGGCTGGGTCCACTCCAACGGACAGAGTCACACACTAGGACAGCGCCTTACCTGGGCATAGGCACTGTGGGTCACTTTCCTTAGGTCATCCTGAGCCCCTGTAGTGATCTTGCCAAAGAACAGCTGCTCAGCCACCCGGCCCCCTAGCATCATACACATGCGGTCAAAGAGCTGCTCCCGTGTGTAGAGGTATTGCTCACGGGGAAGGTACTGAGCATAGCCAAGCCCCTTGCCCCGAGGTATGATGGACACCTGAAAGATAAGAGCCTGGAGTTAGAGAAATGGGTCCGCAGACAAGAGCATGTATTGCTCTTGCAGAAAATCCCAGTTCAGTTCCCAGCAGTCGCATGGGGTGGCTTACAACCATCTTGTAACTCCAGCCCCCCTTCAGGACTCTTTAAGGACTGCACTCATGTACAACCCCCCCCCCCACTCCTCTACCACACACTAGGAAAAATACAGGCTAGAGAGATGGCTAACAGTGAAGAGCATTTGTTGCAAAAGCAACAAATGGACCCAAGTTCAGTTTCCACCACCCCGTCAGTGTCTCACAACCATCTATAACTCCAGGCCTGATCAGATGCACACCCCCTTTAGGACTCTGTGAGGACTGCATTCATGTATACAATCCTACACAACACACACACACACACACACACTTTTAAATGGACCCAGGTTCAGTTCCCAGCACCCACAGTTATCACAACCACCTGCAACTCTGTATGTTGAATTCAGGCATCTGACATTCTTCTGCTGAAGTCACCTGGTGCACATACACATGCAGGCACACCACTCATACACATAAAATAAATCTTTAAAAAAATGAAAATTAATCTTTAAAAAAATTCAAAGTCTTGTCTTTGTCAGCCTCAAACATTGTTCCACCAGGTGCTGCACTGGCCACGGTCCTTTTACGACTGAGAGAGGCAGGATAAGGGCCCCAAGCTTGAGCCACTACAGACCAGTGCTCCCTGAGGAGCACACTCACGCCAACAGCCTCAGTGTCTGACTGTCCCACAGAGGCTCTGCAGGAACTGAACGCACAATCACTCCGACAAGAGTCAGATCCAGAGCTTAAAATGTCAGCAAGGCCCACCCAGAGCTTGCTCTGCTTCCCCACTCCAAAAAGAACCAGACAAATTATAGACCAACACACTCCTTGAAAAGTAAAAGGGGGGCTGGTGAGATGGCTCAGATGGTAAAGGCACTTACCACCAAGGTTTATGACCTGAGTTTAATCCCCAGAATCTATATAGTAGGAGAAAACTGGCTCCAACATCTGACCATAATACATGTATATATATACACACACACACAAACACACACACACACACGTGCGCACACATGCATGCACACGCACCTATATTCACATACACACATTCTCTCTCTCTCTTAAAAACAGAGAAAAGAAAGTAAAAGGTCATGTCTACAAGTGTGCTGATACCTGGAAAGCCAGAGATGGCGCCTGGGCCTAGAGGCTGCCAAGGCCATCAGCAGTCTCACTCAGAAACTGACCTTCAGCAGAGGGTCTGCATGTTCCAAGAACCAGCCCACCACTGCATGCCCTGCCTCATGGTAGGCGACAGTTGTCTTTTCACTGGGTTGTAGGACCTGGGTCTTCTTCTCAAGGCCTACAAACCACATTCCAAGGAGTGAGAAACAGGGGAAGAATGTCCACCTGCAACCCCCAAGGACACTGGACAGTCTAAACCGACTGCCATACCCCTGAGACCTTTATTAATTCACCAAATTCCAATTCCTGCCTGGCTAGCACATCTAGCTAAGCTGCTCCAGGCTACTGTATGAACTGCCCACATGGCACACTCACCGCTCTGACAATGATGAACTCTAGCAGTAGGCGTCCTGGGATGGCCCCTACCTAGCACAGGCTTTTCCTTGGGAATACCATTCACCCAAGCTCCACCCTTCCTCCCTCCAAGTAGACTTTCCCTGTCTTCTACATCCAAGCCTAGCTCTGGTTCTCAAGGCCTGCAAATGGCCTGCATACAACTCAGGAGACAGTGAAAGCTGCTAGGAGAGCCCTAGTTCTAAATTTTGGTTCAAAAAGCCAATTGTGTTTTCTCCATGCTGAAATGAGCCTAGGTTAGCCAATAAATGTCTGCCCAGGGGATGTGGGCTCACCTCCAATGACCCTCTCGATGGCTTGCTCAAAGTGCTTCTCCTGGACAGAAGGGCTAAGATGGCGGGCAGCAATCAGTGCTGCTTCGTTGCACACATTGGAAATATCAGCACCTGGGTCAGGAAAAGAAAGTCAAGTCAGTGTTCCTGGCTGTTGGAGTCCTACCAAGATCAACTTCATTAAAGGAAAATCTCAAGCAGCAGCCCAGTTAAACTTCAGCAGAAAATGTAGGTAGAAATTACTTCACCAACCACTATAACTTTAGCTAAAGTTTCTGGTTAGTTATGAAATTTTATTGATAAATAATCCATGTATCATAAAGGAATATGCAATATTAGCTTTTAGTAACTTGGACAATAACTTGAAAGACTTTACAATCTCCTGACACACAGATCTCTGGACATGGTGGTTTGAATGAGAATGGTCCCCATAGGCTTATATGTTTGAATACCTGGTCCCCAATGGGTAGAACCGTTTGAGAAGGATTTAGGAGGTGTGGCCTTGTTGGAGGAGGTGTGTCACTGGGAGTTGGGATTTGAGGTTTCAATACAGTCCATACCATTCCCAGACAGCTCTCTCTGCTTCCAACTGTGGTTTAAAATGTGAGCTCTCGGCTCTCTCCTACTGCTGTGCCTTTGCTCCACCATCGCGGACTCTAACACTCTAAACCCATATGCCCAATTAAATGCTCTGGTCATGGTGTTGTATTACAGCAATAGAAAGTAGCTAAGACAGCATGTGAGAATTGTCATGGTTATGCCAATTGATATCATCTTAACTGTGGGAAGGAGCTGGGCTGTGTGAGTAGAAATGAGCTGGGTACTAACATGCGTGTGCTCACTGATCTCCATTCCTAGATGAGATGTGACCAGCTCCCTTAAGCTCCTGTCACTGTGACTCCCCATCACGGTGGACTGGATCCTGGAACTCTGAACCTTTTTGAAACCCACTCTCCCTTAGGTTACTTAGGTTTTGTATCAGAGCAACAGGAAAAGAAACTAAGACACCAGAGTTGTCATTCACGGCCCCGATCTAAGACACCTTCCATCATCTGAGACACCTTGGGCCTTTATACCTAACTCCCATTCCAATTCCAATCAACTACTAGTCTGTTTTCACCTCTGTGGACTTGGATTTTCTGCATCTCTGCTGAAAGCCCACATCCTCATGGGAAAATGATTCATATAAGATGTGGCTTTTTAAGACTGGTTTCTTTCTTTGAGCATTATTTTTTAGACTTATCTATGCTGTAGTGTGTATCAGTACCTCATCCTTTTTTGTTAAATTTTATTTATTTTAAATGTGTAAGTATGTGTCTGAATATATGTAATATGCATCACATGTGTGCTTGGTGCCCAGGGAGACCAGAACTGGAGTAGTAGTTGTGAGTGACCATGTGGGTGCTGAGAACAAGCAACCCAGGTCCTCTGAAAGAGCAAGTATTCCTATAATCTGAGCCATCTTCCTAGCCCTAGGAGCGTATTCCTTTTTCAGCTGAGAATTGTTCTATAGTATATACCATAGATTGCCAATCTACTCATCCATTGCTGGGAACTTGACTGAGTTCTACTTCGGGACTATTACAAATAATGGGGCTATAAACACGATGTTCAAGTCTGACATACATTTTTCAATTCTCTTGAGAATACACGCAGGAGTGGAATCACTGGGTCATATAGTAACCCTGTATTGCATTTGGACCATCAGACTGATTTCTATAGTGGCTCCACCATTTCCATTTTCCATTCCTACTCCCAACATTAGGGTTTGAACTCTTGTTCTCAGCTTTTTTTTTTTTAAAGATTTATTTACTTATTATGTATACAACATTCCTTCCATGTTTGCTTGCATGCCAGAAGAGGGCACCAGATCTCATTATAGATGGCTGTGAGTCACCACGTGGTTGCTGGGAATTGAACTCAGGACCTCTGGAAGAGCAGTCAGTGGTCTTAACCTCTGAGCCATCTCTCCAACCCCCTCAGCTTTTTTTTTTTTTTTTTTTAGTATAGTCACCCTTTTCAGGTATGAAGTTGTAATACATTGTGCTTTTACTTTGTACTTTCCTAATAATCAATGTTGAATAATTTTTAATGTACTTATCAGCCATTATTTGCAAAAATGTGTATTTAAGTCCCTCCCAGGGTCTCATTATATAACTCAAGCTAGCCTCAACTTCCCTAATGTGATGACCATGGTATGTACTACCATACCTTTATCAGATACATGGTCTACGTTCTTTTAGAATTTTGAGAATATTTAAGATATGTAATTTTAAGAGTCTTTTTGATTTGTTATCTACTAATTTATTTATTTAACTTGAGACAGGGTTTCTCATGTAGCCTTAGTTGTCCTGGCACTCGCTCTGTAGACCAGGCTGACCTTGAACTCACAGAGGTCCACCTGACTCTGCTTCCCAAGTGCTGGGATTAAAGGTGTGTGCCACTATACCCAGCTTGCTTTTAATAATTTTTAAAAATTACAATTATTCATGTATTGTGTATGTGTGTGAGTGTGTCACACTGCATGTGTGGTGGTCAGAGGGCAAACTGTGGAGGATGTTTCTCTCTTTCCACTCTATGGGTTACTGGGATCCTTTGGAGCCCACTTACCTGCCCATGTTAAGAACTGCGGGCAGTGATGGAACAGGGCAGGCAAATCTGAGTTTGAGGCCAACCTGGTCTATAGAATGAGTTTCAGAACAGCTAAGCCTACACAAAGAAACCCTGTCTCCATAAACAAAACAAAACAAAACAAACAAAAATTGCTTATTATGCTTAATATTGTATTTACTTGGGGCTTTAACATTTTCTTCCTCTGTGAACATATAATACCTGCTTCATTGCAGGCTTTATAGTTTTCTGTTAAATCATCAATCAAAATTTTTAGTACCTCTTTTTTGTTTGTTTTGTTTCGTTTCAGTTTTTTGAGACAGGGTTTCTCTGTAGCTTTGGAGCCTGTCCTGAAACTAGCTCTTGTAAACCAGGCTGGCCTCAAATTCACCGAATTCACAGAGATCTTCCAGCCTCTGCCTCCCAAGTGCTGGGATTAAAGGCGTGCACCACCACTGCCTAACAGGTTTTTATTTTTCTTGATACTCTGCGGTGCAGAATAAGTAGAGACCATGACAGAAATTTAAGGTGCCTGTTTTCTGAGGAAACACTCAGGATTAAAACAGTTGCATTAAAATAGCTGCATCTCCTAGTCAAAGGTCAACCTAAAATTATACAGGGGGAGAAGAAGCCTTCAACAGTAAGAACCAATGGGGTGCCACAGTCAGTGCTATCTCTTTGACTTTGGAAACATGCCAGCAGTCCTTATAATGTGCGACTTTACAAGGCCCCTGCTGTGAAAACAATGACACAGTTCTGTCCTCAGCATCTTGATAGATTATGTGCTATACCTTTTATGAACAATGAGTCTAAGGGAGGAAAAGTACTTTGTTTTTGAAAATTTATCTTATCACTTATGTATATGAGGAGTCAAGAAGAGTGTATCAGATCCCTGGAGCAAGAGGTACAGATCCACCCACAGTGGGTGCTGGTAACTAAACTCTACTCCTTTGGAAGAGTAGCAAACAATCTTAACCACTGGGCCAGCTCTTCAGCCCTGAAAATGCACTTTAATGCAGCAGCATCCTCAAGTTCATGTAGGAATGGGTCAGAGAGTTGGGGAGTGGCCAGTCTGCCCTACTGTGGAAGTGTTGAATTCTCTTACTGAGTCCTCCAAAATGAAAATCCTCATAGGGAAATCTGGGTAGTAAGTGAACACCTGAACTTGCAAGGGGTGAAAAAATGGGACAGGAAGGACACTCCAGGCAGAATACCAAGAAGGCCCGTCACATGTTAGCATGACAAGAACTTCCCACCACTACACCAGACAAATGCATACTGTGTGTAAAACACGCCTGGCCCGGTGCTGAACAGGATGCTATAGGTAAGCAGAGTGAGGATGCTCCACTGCCTATATGGCAGAAGACCATACAGAAGACCGGTAAACAGCCTGCTACAGTAACCATGAGGCAACTAAAGTTTCCAAAGGGTTGCTATGGAGAGGCAAATAGGTCAGAAACCCATTCCATAGGTTCCCACCCACTGCTGGGGTTCACACCACTCTGGTAGGGAAACAAGAATCCTAGCAACAGAGATGAGGTTTTGAAAAGGGAAACACCACATTAACTTCAGATGGGAGTTCAAGACCAAAGTGTGGTGTGATTCATCTCTTCAGGGATCCCCCTCAGACATGACTTTTACCTCTGTGTAGTAAAGACTCACGTCTAAACAGGAATCCACAGACTCAAATGGGTACCACTAGGTTTTAGGTTAAGAAGATCTGAAACCTTTGAATGTTCCAGGAGGCTCAAAGTTCTATAAACCAGGGCGCCCAGGACCAGATGTGCAGGTGTGACAATCAGCAGTCACTGTAGACCAATGGATGCCCGTGGCCACTGCTAAGATGAGTGGCTCAGCAACCAACACTTACCAGTGAAACCCGGAGTAAGGGCAGCTAGTTTCCTCGAAAGAGCATCTTTGGTGAGGCGTTCATCTAGCTTGAGTGGACGCAAGTGAACCTTGAAAATGGAGGACCTGCCTTTGATGTCAGGGGGACCTAGTAAAGAAAACGAGACAGATAAAATTACATTCTCAGAGCTTTGGGGACATGTTTCCCCGAAACTACTTCACAAAACTTTCAGGATAATCAGCAGAACTCCCTGCCTGCAGCAAGAAACAGTTAAAAAAAAAAAAAAAAAGAAAAGAAAAAAAAGAAAAGAAAAGAAAAGAAAGAAAGGAAAGAAAGAAAGAAAAAAAGTGTACTTCTACTGGACAATGCCATACATCAAAACACCTTCTGGGCAGGGCGGTGGTGGCGCAGGCCTTTAATCCCAGCACTTGCGAGGCAGAGACAGGCGGGTCTCTGTGAGCTTGAGGTCAGCCTGATTTACAGACCGAAGCTACACAGAGAAACCCTGTCTCAAAGAAACAAACAAAACAGAAAGAACCAAAACAACAACAACAAAAAAAAACCCACCTTCTTGGACTAGGTATGTAGCTCACTGGTAGAGTTAGCATGAACAAGGCCCTGGGTTCAATCACCACTAACAAATAAACACACCCTATAAACACACACCTACCTTCTTAATCAATATTAAGTCTATTCCCCCAAGGTCATGTAACCCAACAGGTGTTACTGGGACACAGGTAGTATCTACCCAAGGTCAATGTGCTGGGAAACGTGAAGGGAAGGTAAATATCCTTAACCATCAGGGAGCAGGACAAAGGATAAACCCTTTTCTCCTAAAGTATCAAGGTTTTATAAAGTTGTATGAAAATAAAATCTGGAGAATAGAAACAGGCTATACTGGCCTTCCCTGTATTCACTACAAGGGCATTTGGACAGCCAAACCACACCTACTGTTCCCAAAATGTGGACTGTCAGAGAGAACCCAGTATCAGCATCTCCAAAAGCACAGCAAGTGAGTTACCCAAACCTTTAACCTCAGGGGCTGAGATCCAAACCCAAGTACCTACAGGACAGGCACTCACCAATGTAGATCTGGCGGTCAAACCGGCCAGGCCGGGTCAGGGCCGGGTCAAGGATATCAGGGCGATTGGTGCCAGCCAGCACTACCACGTTAGTGGTAGAGTTGAACCCTAAACACAAGATACGCTGGTTAACTTGAGGAAGGCCAAGGCAACAACAGAATCCCCTTCTGTTTGCCCCACAACCCTAAACACAAGATACGCTGGTTAACTTGAGGAAGGCCAAGGCAACAACAGAATCCCCTTCTGTTTGCCCCACATCCTTCTGTAAGTGCCAAGAAAGAGGCATGAGGCCCTGCTCAGCTGCCCTAGGGGCCAAGGCCTGTCCCAGTCTAGAAAAGATGATACACAAAAACCCGCCCTCTGGCTCTAAGCTCTCACTACTACCTTCTGCTATGAGTAAGGTACATTTCTACTGGTGGGAAAGCGGATCTCTTCTCAGCACACAGGGAACCCTGTAATCTGAGACGAGGATGTGAGAGAAAGCCCAGAACACGTGGAGTCTCTGTACTTGTGACCCCTGCTAATCTGACACCATCTTGTCAGGGCTCACTGCCTCCTTCTACCCAAGTCCTTGTGGGCTTGAAGGATTCATCACGCACAGCCAGGTGACGGCAAGCAAGGAACACTCATCCAAGGCGAGCCCATGAGCATGACAGTTAGGTGTGTACATGTGTCTCTTTTCCTTTATTGTCTCCACTCAGTCCCCGCCATTATACAGTGAGGAGCTCTTTGTGAATCAAACACTGATTTCTCTCTCATATTTGCTTGAGAGCATTCTTTTTGAAAACCAGAACACATCAGCCAGACACAGTGGTGCATGCCTGTAATCCCAGCACTCAGGAGATGAGGGCAGGAAGAACCAGAGCTCGAAGTCAGGCTAAAGAGTGAGAGAGGAGAATGAATACATATTCCTGTGGAAACTGAGTCTCCGCAGACCTGCCAGTGTCCACTCACCATCCATCTCCACAAGCATCTGGTTCAAAGTGTTCTCCTGCTCACTCTGGCCTCCCAGGTGACCACGGCCTCGCTTCCTGCCAATTGCATCAATCTCATCAATGAATAAAATACAAGGAGCATTTTTCCGGGCCATTGCAAACATGTCACGAACCTGCAAAAAGAAGCCAGACCCTATTTTGTTACTTACATTCCTATCATACAGAAGAACGGTTCACTCTTAGCCCTCCCTTTGAGACATCGGTACCTCCCTGATGTGGTACACTCAGCACTTGTCCCACACAGAGCCAATAGCTACACAAAATAAAATAACCAATCCTGGACAAGAAGCATGCCGGCACCTTCTACAGTTGCTTATCCAGCCACCTACCCGTGCTGGCCCAACACCAACGAACATTTCCAGGAACTCCGACCCATTCACAGTGATGAATGGCACATTGGCCTCCCCAGCAGTTGCTTTTGCAAGAAGTGTTTTGCCAGTACCAGGTGGACCAGTAAGCATTGCTCCCTGCAAGAGAAAAGAACACCTAGTTCTCCAGAAGGACATGTGCTCTTAACTGCTGAGCCATCCCTCAAGGCCTAGGCCCATAGTGTATGTTCTTGAGGGTTGGTACCTGGCTACCTGTTCTGTTCTGTTGCTAAAGAGAGAAGGGGAACATGAGTTTGGGCAGAAACTCAAACTCTGCTACAAGCAGTTCCTGGAAGGCATTTGCTGAGGTTCCTGAGCAAAGGGAAGGAGCTTCAGCTTAGCTCACCTATGACCTTTCCGTTGCTTTTCCCCTACAGGATCCCAATGAGGAAGAACCCAATATCCGGGTTCTCCTAGAGCACCGCTTCTACAAGGAGAAGAGCAAGAGCGTCAAGCAAACCTGTGATAAGTGCAATACCATCATCTGGGGCCTCATTCAGACCTGGTACACCTGTACAGGTGGGCCAAGACCAAGACCCACTCCTATATAAGCTCTGCTCCCGGACTTAAGCCACGTCCAATGGCCAATTGTCTGGAATGTACAGAGAGTCAGGCACTGCTGTGCCCTGGAGATAAGAGAAGCTGAGGAGACCAGTGTGCCTGCCTTCACTGGTCTTGATTCTGGATCTGAGCTGTCTAGTATAGTGGCAGGAATCAGAGACAGTTTTTGAAATTTAAATTCACCTGAGTTGAATATGTAGATTAGTTTTGTTATCTACTTTACGAAAGCTCAGTAGCCACAATGTTCAGTAGCCAGGCCAGGCTGGTGGTTACCATGTTGGATAGTACAGAGAGAATATTGCAGAATGATGGGACTGCTCTGTATGAGAAACCAGATTAGGAACTGGCCTGGTATGTTAGAGCTATCTCACTGGCCCCTTGAAAAAGATCTAATATCCTGTTTCTGTTGGGCACAGTGCCACATGCCTTTAATGCCAGCATTTGGGAAGCAGAGGCAGGCAGATCTCAGTGGGGTAAGCAGCCTGCTCTACAGAGTGAGTCTCAGGCCAGCCAGGGCTACATAGTGAGACCCTGTCCCAACAACAAATCTTGTATCTAGAGTTCAGAGTGCTGGACTGCCATTAGGTCATTGTAGATGAGCGCATAACATTAACAAACAAACAAACAACAGATGTGGGCTCTTTGAGACAGTGTCTCTTAGTCTACAGCACAGGCTGGCCATGAACTCACGATGTGGCCTAGACTAGCTCTGAACTCTCACAAGTCCTCCTACCTCAACCAACCAAGTGCTAGACAGGCCAAGCCACTTGAGGCTTTGAATGCCCTGCACCGCCAGTGCTATCTCCATCCTCTGTGTGATCGGCAGAACACAAACTTAAGGAAAAAACCCTTAAATATTTGTCTCTTCTAAATCACAGCAATCCGTACTTCACCTTGCAGCCTAGAGCGCATACTGTTTCCTAAAACTGGTACCTTTGGGATTTTGGCTCCTAAATCCTGATATTGCTTTGGGTTCTTCAGGAAATTCACAAATTCCATAATTTCCAATTTGGCTTCTTCACAGCCAGCCACATCTGCGAACCTCACATCAATGTTGTTTTTTAAGATCTTGGCTGTTGTCTCACCAACACTGAAGAGGCCTCCTCCTCGCCCACCACGACCAGTCCCCATTGGACCCCTCCTCATAGCATAGAGGAGGATGCTAACCAGGACCAGGGTGGGCACCAGGCTTCGAAGAAGAGAACTGCAAAAATCCAAGAAAAGCATTTGTTACATTCGCTTAAGAAAAAGGTCAGAAGTTCCACTGTCACCCAGAAAGAGCAAATCACTCTAAAACTTTCGCTGTATGAAAAGGGGCTATTTCTAGAATGTCCCGAAGTCAAGTCCTAATGACAGTGAATCTGCCCAAACCCACCCAGCACAGGGCTTAGATTCTGACCAAATAGGTCTGACAGAACCTTAGCCATAACTTTCCTTAGAAGACTCCGGTTCAGTAAAGATATCGATACCCAATATGTTTATTTTTCCTACATACTTTTTAGAGGCCTGACATTCTCTTTGCAATAAACAGACTCAAGCCAGTGCCGTGGTGTATACTTGGGAGGTCGAGACAAGAGAATCACTTAAACCTAGGAGTTGAGACTTGGATGGCTAAAAGATTGAGGCCATCTCAAAACAAAAAAAATAAAAAATAAAAAAAATAAAAATTTTCCTTTAGCATTGATAGTGTAAACATTAGCAGATGCCTATAATGTTTTAAAAAAATAAACACACCCCAAAATAGAACTGAATTTTTGTTTTGTTTTAATAATCAGATGTCCTAGGTCTATTATACAGAGTAACCCTGTCTCAAACAAACAAACAAAGATTCAGATGTCCTGCATTAGTCTCCCAAGGACCTCTGCATCCCTAGAACTCACCCATCACTCTCTGTAGTGTAGACTACCGCAGCCTGGTTGGTGGGCTCAATCCCCAGCTCCCACTGAGCAGACTCGAGGTTCCTCTCAAAGGTGTCAACACTGCCAATGTTAAACCACACGAACTTCTGCAGAGACCAAGAGAAAGCTTAGGTTTACCATGTGCCCCACAGAGAACCGCCGACACACTCACCCACATCTGTGTTTCCCAGAAAAGGCCCTTTCCCCTGGCTTTGACAGACAGATATGGACAAATCCCTTCCTGAAGCTGCAGTAAGGAGGCAAACAGCAGCTCATTCAGTTCTGGCACACAAACTTCAGGGTTTAACTAACTTCTGGACAAAGTATAAAATGTTGCAACAGTAACCAAAGTCTCCCTTCATCTTTTTATTCTTTTCTAACAAATTTTAGCAAGTAGTTTTTACATATTATTTGACAAAAATTACTTATAGTTCTCTTAAAGGCTTCCTACATTAGCCAATATCTACTTAAGACAATGAGAGAAACCATATTATTTTTTTAAAAAAAATTTAGTTATTTTTATTTTTTGTTGCTGGGCAGTGGTGGCGCATGCCTTTAGTCGGGAAGTAGAAGCAGGCAAATCTCTGTGAGTTTAAGGCCAGCCAGGTCTACAGAGTAAGTTCCAGGATAGCAGGAGTTGTTACACAGAGAAACCCTGTCTCAAAAGATGGAAAGAATTAAAATAAAATAAAAATAAATTATTTTTTGTGAATGGGCATTTTGCCCGCATGTCTATGTGCTACATGCAAGCCTAGTTAGTACCTGTGGGGGCTGGAAGGCGGGAAGAGAGCAACAGACTCCTCAGAACTGCAGTTATGAATGCTTCTGAGCCTCCACATGGGTGTTTGAAATCAACTCGCGTCCTCGAGAAGCACAGTCAGTGCTCAGTACACTGAGCCATCTCTCCAGCCCAAACCATTCTAAGTAACATGGACTGCTGGACAACGGGAAGGCATTTTACTGCACAGACAACTATAGATTACAATTCTTAAAATGGTAAAGCAAGGGACTAGGGAGAAGACTCAGAGTAAGAACGTGAACTGCTCCTGCAGAGGACCAAAGCTGCTTCCCAGCTCCCAAGTCAGGAGGCTCCTAACTCCCAGGGGATCTAATACCTGTATTCACATGCTCATACCCACACAATCTAAAACGATGAAAATCAAATCTTTAAAAAAAAAAAAGTGATCTGCTGTGGCAGCACACGCCTTTAATCCCAGCACTTGGGAGACCGGCAGGCAGATCCAGGCGAGTTCCAGAATATTCAGTGAGACTGTCTCAAGAAACAAGCACACAAACAAAAGGTAAGGGGACACTTGACCTTAAATTGACCCCTCACCTCGGACGTCGTCCCAGGAACAGGAATAACACGCACAAATTGCTTGTTCACAACCTCCAGCCGATCCACCTGGGAAAAAGAAAAGCAGTCACAACAGCTGAGGCAGAAGGACATTCAAGCCAAGCATGAGCAGTGCAGTGACGGGCACACCTACATCCTAAAGACAACATATCCTCCCCTACCAACCGCAGCCCAGTCTAATTAAGTTTTGGTTTCTTGCTCTCTTGGATCTATAAGCTTGGGGCATGAATTTATCTCATTTTAATAAAGAACTCAACAAGTCTCTCAAAATTGAACTCCATACTAGATTATTTTAAAATATAAATATAATACAAGTCAGTCTTATACTGACAACAGAGTAAAATCTCTGTTAGAACACGATGCGTATGAATTCTGATGAACATGCCACCATATGTGGACGTGAGAGGACAACCTCGCTCTGGACAGTGTATTTTTGCTTTTCCATTGCATGTTCCAGGCTGCCTGACCCACAAGCTCCCAGGGATTCTTCTCTTCATTTCCCACCTCCCCACAGGTGCGCAAAGATCAGACATCCTTGCAAAGCATCCAGCTTTTATGTGGGTTCTGGGGATTTGAACTGAAATCCTCACACTTGTGCAGCGAGTGTCTGCACCCACCAAGTCATCGCTCAAACACGATACAGTACAGTCTTGAGTACAGACCTGATTCACAAACATTTTGTCCACCAGAGAAAAAAAACAAAAACAATGTCAATAAGAATAAGAGCAGTCCCAGAGGCTCATGAGCTACCAGAGGCTGTACAATAGACTGATATATGCCTCTAAGAAACAGAAAAAGAGAAAAGAAAATAAATAGGCACACCTATAATCCCAGTACTCAAAAAACAAGAGTGCTGCTGCAAATTCAAGGCCAGATTGGGATGCAGAGGCAATCTAGTCTCAAAAATAAAACCAAAAAGGAAATCACAACTTGATACAATCAACTTTGTAAATATGATGACACAGTATTGTTCTCCTTGCTCGATTTGTTTGTAAGATTTGTTTTTATTTATGTGTACACGTCTGTGTCTGCCATATGTGTACGGGTGCCCATATAGGCCATCAGACATCAGACACTAGCACACGCACAGATGGCAGGTCCATAGGCAGGAGGGCTGCAGCAGCTCTGTCCCCACTACTCTTAGGGGAGCCACCAAGCACCTCTCACAAGATAGGGTCTCACAAGTTCAGGGCTGACCAGCAAGGGCCAGGGGTACAGTGAAGGAGAAAAAGAGTTTTGAATCAGACATGAGACTGAAATTCAAAGACTGATGGATACAGCCAAATTTCAAAAGACAAGCTAAATTTTTATCATTTTGAGATTGCCAGGACATGGTATTAAGGCAGCTTCCACCCGACCAGAAAGTAGGCCCGACACTGTTCTGCCTGAGCCGTTCCTGTGCCCAGTGGGTTGCTGAGCATGCCACCACACAGCAGCCTGACTCCAGCTCCTTCAGGGAACAACTGTGAACCCCCTGAATAGGACAGTGTGGAGATGTCCTCACCAGACCTCTGGCGAGGTAATACTGCACAAAGTGCTTCCAGGTGATCTCTTTTCCAGGATCTCTAAAGTAGAAATATAAAAATCCCACAGCCACGCCTGCCCCCAGGACAGCCAGACTCCGGAAATCCTTGTCATCCCACGGAAACTCCCCCTACAGAAGAAAAAAACAACACGTTTTCTAGTTAGGCAACAAATCACGTGGCTTCATGTTTGGCTTAAAATTTTTCTGTTTCATTTTTATTTACATGGATGTGTGTGTCCCTGGGAAAAGGGATGCTCATGGCCAGGAGAGGGAGTTTGGTTCCATGGAACTGCAGCTACAGGCAGTTGTAAGCCAAACTGGGATCCTCTGAACACCATGAAAACGACCATTTCTTTATGAAAATGGAAATTTCTCTTTTCCGTATGTAGCCCTGGCTAGCCTGGGACTCTCTATGAAGACCAGTCTAGCCCCAGTGTCACAGAGCTGTGCCTGCCTCTGCCTCAGGAGTATTAGGATTAAAGGTATGTGCCAACAGGCCTGGAAGAAGAGTCTCTCTTACCTTGGATTCTAAGTCTTGATACACATTTTTTAAAATTTCTTAGATTCTTTGAACTGTCTAGGCCCTTAAAAATCCACCCTGGAAATCAATACCAACAGGGACCTTTGGGAAATGATGAAGTCATATGGGGCCCGTCTTCAAGTATGGAATTTGTGTGCTAACACAATTAATTAAAGGGTGGATTTTGTTCCTTCTTGTCATATAAAGATACAGTGTTGCTCCTCTACGGACAGAGCAGCATACAAGACACCATGAGTGGAGGCTTGACAACAGAGACCAAAGCCTCTACAGTACTGGGCACACCAGCACTCTGACCACACGCTGTCCAGCCTCTTCAACTGCGAATAAACACACACTAGTTACAAATTACATAGTTGAAGCTGGGCACAGTAGTGCACATCTGTAATTCCAACACTCAGAGGCAGAGACAGGAGGTTCACCACAAGCCTAGGCTACACAGTGAGTTCTAGGCCAGCCAAGGTTGCATAGGAGACCCTGTCTCAAAAAAGCCAAAACAAAAAAGAAATCAAACTATCCAGTGATTTTTCTCCAAGAGCAGGAATAAAATAAGAAAAAGACCACAGAAAGCCTTAGCTTTGTAGCAACCACACCCTCTATAAGTAACAGCATGTCTGGCTCTGGTCTTTAGATACACACAAACCTTCTGCATCCGTTTCCACCAGGCAAAGCCATCTCGCTTCCCTCCTCTCTTGCCTCCATCTCCTCCAGGCCCAGTGTTCTTCGGTTCTACAGTTTCTGAGATTAAAAAAAAAAAAAGAAGAAAGAAAAAAAAGAAAAAAAGAAAAAGAAAGAAAAGTCTTATATTACAAGAGAAAAGAAGTATATATAATTTTCCAGAGAAGGAGAATTCAAAAAACAAAAAAGGAGTTAGGGAGGTAGCTCTGTCAGTTATGTGTCTGCTGTGTAACCATGAGGGTCCAAGTTCAAGTCTCCGGCACCTATGTTAACAGCCAGGCACAGTGACATGCGTTCCTGCAGACTCAGTGCTATAGCAGCATAGGCAAGAGGATCCCTGAGGTCTGGCCCACCTAGCAAGTTCCGGTTTAGAAGAGAGCCTGCTTCAAAAAATAAGGTGGAGGGAGGGCTAGTGAGATGGTTCATTTACCACCAAGCATGAGAACCTGAGTTCCATCCCTGAAGCACAAGTGATGGGCTGAAGAGATGGCTGAGGTTAAGTGCACTGACAGCTCATCCACAGGTCCAGAGTTCAATTCCCAGCAACCACATGGTGGCTCACAACCATCTATAATGAGATGTGGTGCTCTCTTCTGGCCTGCAGGTAGAACACTGTATATATAAGATAGATAGATAGATAGATAGATAGATAGATAGACAGACAGACAGACAGACAGATAGATCACTGTATATATAAGATAGATAGATAGATAGATAGATAGACAGACAGACAGACAGATCTTTAGAAAAGGAAAAGAAAAAAAGAACTGGCTACTTTTCCAAAACCAAAGGTTCAATTCCAAAAACACACATGGCAGCTCCAGTTCCAGGTGATTCTGTACCCTTTCCTGGCCTCTTTAGGCACCAGGCGAGCACATGGTACACAAACACACACGTAGCCAAACATTCAAGCATATAAAATAAAATAAAAAGTAAAATCAAATACTCAAATGTAAAACTTGACAGTCTGACTTAACAAACTGGTCTTCTTACCTTTTTTTGGAGCTACTGAGTTTCCTGGTTCTGTACTTCTTCCATTCTTCTTATTCTTAAAAAATTTCTCAAACCCTTAGGGAAAAAATGGAGAGGTTGTAGTATGTTTAAAAGGAAAACTCACATGTGTGCACACACACGTGCGCACACGCACACATGCACAAACATGCATTCAGAAAAGCAGCAGTACAGTCAACTCCGGCTGAGAAAGTTAGAGGAAAGCTAGCTCTCCTTCCTGTCTTTTTCTCTTACCTGATCAGAGTGACATGCAGCGCCAGGCCCAAACCCACATGTGAGATAAGGAATATTTCTTCTACTCTCTGGAGATAGAGGTCTCCAAATGCTTCTATGAGTATGGTTCCTCTGCTCAGAACACTAAGCACAGGTCCATGGCTTTCTCTAGAGGGCTCCAGGTAGACCACTATGTTCCCCGTAACTACTCTACCTGTTTTACTTCCCAAGCCTGAAGCTGGATCCCCAGAATCAACTATACAGAAACAAAAATGAACTCCCATGCCAAGATTCATCTAGTAATATCCTTCTGAGACAGTTTCACTTTTGCTGGTGTCAACAATGTATCAGCGTGATAAAGGCTCGAGTGCTACTATGTGACTCAATATGGAACCTGCTAGTTGTGCCCTCTTGTCACCTGCTCAGTCACCTGGGAGACACCCCAAGCAAATTACACTAGTTATAAACTTTATGCAGCTACTGAAGTACTGTACCTTTGGGAGGTTTTGAACACAGCCTTGGGGAGAACCACGTCAGTCTTCCCTGCAGAGCCTGCAGCGAGTATATCCCCTGAGGACAACGACAGGAGAGACAATTAGGCTGTTTCTGCAATGCAACACAGCATCTTCTCAAAGTGACCAGGATAGGATGTGAGGGACAAAATTTGGACTGAGGCATGAGTTTGTTACTTTATTTACCTACTTAGCTATTCAAACAGAATAAATATAAACTAAACTCACTGTAAAGACTCACAAAAAAATTGTTTTATAGCTATAATATCTAGACAGGCAGTGGTAGTGCACGCCTTTAATCCTAGCACTCAGGAGTCAGAGGCCGGCGGATCTATGAGTTTGAGGTGAATCTGGTTGAGTCTGGTCTACAGAGTTGAGTTCCAGAACAGTCAGGACAACACAGAGAAACCCTGCCTAAAACAAACAAAAAAGGAGGTGTGGCTTTGTTGGAAGAGGTGTGTCACTGGGGACAAGATTTGAGGTTTCAAAAGACTTGTGCTATTCTCGGTGTCCTTTCTGCCTCCCGCTTTCAGCTTTAGTATGTGAACTCTCTAAGGAGAACACTCCTCCACTGCTGGTGGGAGTGCAAACTTGAACAGCCACGCTGGAAATCAGTATGGCAGTTTCTCAGAAAACTGGGAATCAACTGACCTCAATACCACTCTTGGGCACATACCCAAAGGATGCACAATTATACCACAGGGACATCTGCTGGACTATGTTAATAGCAGCAGAACCTGTAATAGCAGAACCTGAAAACAACTAGATGCCCATCAACTGAAGAATAGTTAAAGAAAATGTGGTGGGTACACTTACACAATGGAGTACTACTCAGTATTAAAAAACAATGACATCTTGAAATTTGCAGGCAAATGGATGGAACTAGAAAAAAACTATCCTGAGTGAGGTAACCCAGACCCAGAAAGACAAACACAGTATGTGTTCACTCATAAGTGGGTACCAGATGCAAAGCAAAGGATAACCAGGCTACAATCTACAACCCTAGAGAAGCTAGGTAAAAAAGGGGGCCCTAAGAGGGACACACACAGAGGGCCCCAGGAAGGAAAAATAGTAAACTGGGAGGGGGGTAGAAGGGAGGAGATGGGGGATGGCAACATAAGGGATCAAGAAGACCAAGTTAGGGGGCTGGAGAGATGGTTAAAACAACAATACTCCTTTTTCTTTTTTTTTATGTATACAATGTTCTTCCTGCGTGTATGCCTGAAGGCCAGAAGAGGGCACCAGACCTCATTACAGATGGTTGTGAGCCACCATGTGGTTGCTGGGAATTGAACTCAGGACCTTTGGAAGAGCAGGCAATGCTCTTAATCGAGAAAACACATCAAATTTGCTGAAAATGTGATTTGAGGGGGCCGAGGCTCACCCCAAGTTAGTAGCTAAACTTGACAGTAGATACACGTGATTCTGGCTTTAGAGTCATGAAGGATACATGAGGAAAGGGATTATAAATCTCCCTCTGCAGTTAAGGAGAGATGCTGAGGCCAGATAACATGTGGCAGGGCAGTGCCTACAAGAAACCCCAAGAGGCCATTTTGTGTAGCTGCGGAAGTGAAGTCTGGACTGTGTTAGAGAAGCAGAGCTGTGAGAAACCTGCCAGGGAGAGCTGCACACGGGGAATGGAGCCAGCCCAGGAGAAAAAAATGTCTTGAGAACCAAAATTGTATCTTTTCGCCTCAAGGGTTGTGTGTTTGAAGTTTGAAGTGAGGGTTGCTGATCTAAGAAAGATGAAGTTTCATTCAGAAATTCAAGCTAACTATTGAGGATGTTCTGGGCAAAATCTTACTAATTTTCATGAGTGATTACCACAGTCAACCAGATTCATTAGACCCTTACTTCCCCCAAATACATAAGCATCAAAGACTGCTGAGACTCACTCTCAGACAAGACAAACCACAATACAGATAGACAGCTGGGAAGAAGCAGAGTAGTCTAGCAACCTGGATGAAGCAGAGGCCATATAAGCTGCCTAGAAGACAGACAGCTGAGATGCCTGGAAGCGGCTCAGACCAACCGAGCCACTAGAAATGGACATGCTTCAACCTGTTAAACTTCCTGAAACTTGAGCAGTATGCTACAGGTTTCCAGTTTTTGTGAGCCGTCTCCCATGCTTGGGTGGCCATTGGTGATGGGTCTGTCTCTGAGTCATTTCTGTTCCTGTAAGTAACTCCAATACAATTCACTGGTTCACCAAGCTGGACTCGGAGCTACCCATAGTCTGGTCTGTTGTCAGTTCCCTGTCTGGGTTGGGTAGATGTTTGTTCACACCTCCTAGGAAAAGTGTCACACAATATCACTCCTTTGGTCTGTTGCCAGGGATCTGTCGAGGGTGAACAGACATTTATTCACCCATAAAAAGTGACACAATCAGCTTACGTCTTTCACAAAGACACAGGTCCACAGCCCTCCAGTGACTGTCTGTGCTACAACAATCTACAACACTCACTAAATGATCTTCAACAGGCTAATCACCAGAACAGGACCTGAAACACCGAACACAAAAGAGCTCTGCAACTGAAACAAACTTGGGAGCATTCTGCCAATCCATTTGTGCAGCCATTTCCTCCAAACCCAAAAAGTCGATCCTGGAGGAAGGAGGGAAGCCCTTAAAACTCTTGTGCTCAGGAAATGATCAGGTTCTCAAGGCCCATCCCCAAAGTTAGACAGGCAGTAAACAGCTCCTGGGGGCACGAGCCCCTCCCTCTTCGGAGGCACTGCCTGTAGGTTTTGCAGGGAGCTCCGGGAAGGCAGTTTTCCCCTGGGTTGTCACCTATGTGTGTGACTGACTCACTCCTGTAAGTAACTCTTTCTCAGGCCCACCGTAATTAATTCCAATAAACTAACTGGTTCACAAAGCTAGAGAAACGGAATCATTTCTTTGACCTGTCATGAGTGCACATTTGCTCATCGAAAGTTACACAACATTACATCTGGGGTAAATGACCATTTACATTTAACATCGAAAGTTACACAACACTACTGCCATATGAAGAAGGAACAACCGTCCTGGACAGCTAGGGTGGTTACAGAGAAACTCTGTCTCGGAAAACAAAGAAAGAAAAAGGAGGGAACAGAAGCAAAGACAAGTTGAAGAAGAACAGCTGTGACGAGTGATAACACAGACTGATCTATCTGGAGATGGAGAATACATATATAGCTACCTTTCTCCATGAGGTATGGAGCCTCCTTACTGTACTAACAGATGCACACTCTATGTGATGGGTGGTGAAATACTGTAACAAGGTTGAACTAAGAATGAAGCATCCACGGCAGAGATCCCATGTGCCTATATTTCTCTGCTTAGTATTAAGAGCTACGCCTCTTTAATGAATAAAGTATACCTTTTAAATGGGGACCATCGTGGGGGGAGCGGGAGGGTATTGGGAGGAGGGGAGGAAGTGGAAATTCTTTAAATAAACAAATAAATAAATAAGGAAAAAAATAAATGGGGACAATCTCTCAAAAAATAGCTAAAAGTTATATTGCAAACCCTAAATTGCTAGGATCAGCGGAAGGTAGGAGAATCTGCAGCGGAAATCCGGAAGCGGCTGCGCCCCACCCAACCGCAGGCAGATGACGTCACTACGACGTCCAGCGGAGCCCCCACCACGCCGCCTGAAACCTGTGGAGGGCGCTTCCCTCCTCACCTGCCGAGCAATGCCACCGACCCTCACGCTGTTCCAGACCGCCCCGCCGCTTCCTGCGCAGCCGCCACAGCGCCACAACTTGGAGAAAGGCCAAGCCGGGGCCCGACTGCCGGCCGCCCCCACCAGCCGGAGTAACATCCTCCTGTCCTGACCTCGCGCCGCCTAGGCGGGCGCACGCGCAGCAGGCGGGTCATAGTGCGCCACGCCCCTGTGCGCGCGTGCGCAGCAGGCCGCAGTAGTGGCTCGGACCCTCTTTTTTAGGCGTCTAATTCGCAGCCGTAGTTTAAAAGCTCTTGATCAGGAATGTCGCTTTGCGATGCTCGGTGGCTGATGACAGGTGACCCGCAGCCAACTTGACCTAGGTACCAAAAGCATTTAAGCCTATTTTAAATTTGGCATTGACAGTGACAACAATGGTTTGGGCGGGTACTCGGCGCGAAGCGGCTCATGGAACTGAAAAACTCTTTAAGAGTCTACTTCTCCTTCCGTGGGGTTACGGTTTAGAGGTGTTCCCCGGTATTTCGCCCCCAGTCTAGACGTGCTTCGACCTCTCGTGAACAAAGGAACTGTTTGGTACACATCTCGTCTCATCATCTCCCCACCCCAGACCTTTGTTTAGTTTTGATTGGTTAGCTAGTTGGTATGTGCAACTACATCAGTTTTGATTTGCCTGCAGTTCTGCTGTTCAGAAATTTGGGCTCGACACTAAGGAGGCGCATCAGGCCTTCCTGGGAGTGCAGAAAGAACCAGTTTCTGGACAGTAGCGTTAGACAACGCTTGTTAATGGTCCTTCATGGGTATCTGCGTGCACCCGCGTTCTCCAGCGTACAGGTTAACATCATTCTGAAATCACTGAGGCTACTATGACTACATTTCAAAGGTAGCAATGCTTAGGGAAAGGCCCCTGGATGCCATTGTCACCCGTGGTGCTAAAAGGAAAGGAAGCAATTATCCTTGACACCAAATTACAAGTGATAAAATTTAAAGTGGGTGAAAAACTTAGTCAAATCACAAAAACCTTAGACCTCTGTGTATCTACAATAGTAATCACCCAAGATAATAAAAACGAAAGGTAAGTTCACAAATAGCTAACCCCCTGGGAGCTTCTCTGTTGACTTGCTATTTGAAGTGCCCAATGGCCAACATGGAGCAGTTGTTGGGCATGTAGCTCAAAGACCAAAGCCAACAAAATTATCAGCACCATCCAGGCAGGCAAAAGTTTAAACATGGGATGACTTCCCAGCATATATAAGGAGAAAGTTCTCAAATGGTGGTCTGTGGAATTCAAGGAGCCAATAAACACAATCCACACGACAGGGATGTGTGGCCCAAAGTGCTGAAAGTACCATTGAGGGAGGTAAATTCAGCACAGGCAAGTTTTGTTGTTGGTTCGGTTTGATTTTTGTTTGTTTGGTTGGTTGGTTTGATTTGGGTTTGGTTTTTCTATTCAGGATTACTCTGTGTATCCCTGACTGTCCTGGAACTAGCTCTGTAGGCCAGGTTGACCTCAAACTCACAGAGGTCTGCCTGCCTTTGCCTCTCTAGTCCTGGGATTAAAGCCTTTCGTCACCACCGCCAGCCAGGCAAGTTTTCAGTATAGGTGAATTGGGAGAGAATGCATGAAAAAAAACACAGCCCAAGATCCCTTAATGCTGACGCTTGAAGGAGATGCAGCCAGGGCATCTTACTAGTCCTTACTAGTGCAGTGCTTGGAAACCCCCAGAGCTGTGAAGGGTACTCAAAGTCAATTTGCTATGGTTTGACACTAAAATAAAAAAGCTTGGGTTGACAGAGGCATCTTTTATGAGTGGATCACATATATTTTTTTCACCCTGATACTGAAAACTATGTCCAGAGTACTCTCACCAACTAAGCATTGCTATCCTAAAAGGTACTTTATCTGTGGGGATCCCTGCAGGTGTCGAACAGGGAACTGAGCCCCACAAAGAGATAAGAATGAAAATCAGTGCAGATTGACTATCAACATGGACCAGTCTTCTGGGTGTCTAATAACAGGTGTTTTATTTCCAGTGTATGTAAGTCCAGCATAATTTGAAAAGTTTCCTGGTGTAATACAATCTCCATTGTACAAGGAAGCATAATTACATTGAAATCCCAGCACTTGGGAGGCAGAGGCAAGTGGATCTCTGTGAGGTGAGTTCAAGGCCAGCCTGGTTTACAAAGCAAGTTCCAGACAGCTGTATGTATGTATGTATGTGTACACACACACACACACACACACATATACACACACAGAGAGAGAAAACGTGTATGTATGTATATATATATATGTGTGTGTGTGTGTGTATTCTCTATCACAGGGCTGTTATATAGAGAAACACTAACAAAAAAAGACAAAATCACAAAACAGACTAATATTTTCAGTGGATTTAACTGTTCATTCAAATTAGTTAAATATGTGTCTTCAAGGTGAAATCTGATTTATCAGTACAATGTTTTCAATCATAACAGTATTCTAAATGAAATGGTAGGACAAGTTAAGGCACACCATTTAATGGATTTCTATACACTGTCTAAGCACAGTCCTATTTTTGAATAGCAAAAATATTTAGCCTTGTGTTTCAATGTGATACATAATTTGAAAACAGATTTCAAGATTTCTGGAGAAATAATATTTTGTCATATTTACAGCTCCATTTTCAATTGACATAAACACACGTTACCTGCCATTTTGTTCTGTTTTTATTCTTTTATTCTTCGTGTGGATGAGTGCGCAGGTTGGAAGACAACCCGTAGGAGTCAGTTGTCTCCTAACATTTCGAGGGATGGAACTCAGGTGGTCAGTTTGGCAGAAAGAACCCTCACCCACTGAGTCATCATGCCAACCCAGGTCCCTACTAATTTTCAAATGGAATCTTCCCAGGAACAAATGCCTTAGGCTTCACAATCACGCCTTACTCATGCCATTGCTTTGTAGAAGTACCTGTATTTGTGAGCAACTATTTTCAGGGATGAAACAGTAAAATTAGAACCAAAACATCTGACATTTCAGAACACACATAATTTCAACTCGTTCCACTGAACCAGACACCTTGCGTTTATTTGCCGAGGCAGGGGTGGGTACGCATTGTACCTGGGCATGCACTGGTAGCCAAATGGTAACTATCAGGAGTCAGCTCTCTCTTTTCAACATGTGATCCCAGGCGTTGAATGCGGGTCACCAGGCTTGGCAGTGAGCACCCTTACCTTCTGAACTATCTCACTGGCATTCAAACCAGATATTGATGAGTTGATTTATCAAATACAATGTAAAATATATAACTAGTTTTATGTGTCCCTCTTTTCTTACATTTATTTTTTAAGTTTATATTTGCTTTTAAATTTATTTATTTTTTAAATATGATTCCTTGCTGTGCATGTACGCCAGCAGGCCAGAAGAGGGCATCAGATCCCCTTATAGATGGTTGAGAGCCACCATGTGGTTGCTGGGAATTGAACTCAGGGCCTCTAAAAAAGCAGCCAGTGCTCCTAACTGTTGAACCATCTCACCAGCCTGCCTCTTACATTTATTATAAAAATTTTTTTTTAACCAATGGAGCTCCATTACTTAGATACGTTCATTTATCAGCGATCACATAGTTGGGACCTGCTCAATTATTTTAAGACTTTCCCAACAGAGCTCCACATTTCACTAGTATTTATGTATTTAATATGTGATCCAAGGCAGCTCTTCATCCAGTGTGTCCCAGGGAAGTCAAACGGTTGAATACCTCTGTACAAAAACATCAACTCATAAATGCAGACAAAATCAATCACCATTTCACAATTATTATACTCAAGCAAGAATAGTTAGTGGATGCTAGAGTTGGTAGAAGTTACAGTAAGAACTAGATAGATAGTTTCATAGTCTCAAAGTAGCTCTACATTCAACACTAACGACAAAGAGATAAACAGTAATCTTAATGGAGAAACTTGACACACATGTGTAACGGTTTGAATTGAAAAGCTCCCCACAAGTTCACATGTTAAGCACTCGGTCTCAGGTGATGCTGTTTCTGAAAGTGGTGGAAACTTGAGGAACTGGAGCCTAGCAGATGGAAGTAGGTCTCCAAGAGCATGCTTTTGAAGGTCTGTTGTCCCAGGTCCTTTCCTGGCTCTGCCGTAAGATAAACAGGTTCTTCCCATTCTCCGACCATCACGGTGTTTTTCCCCTCACCATCGGCCCAGAATCAGGGAGTCAAGGACTGTGGGCTGAATCTGTTGACACCAGGAGCCGAAATCAGGCCTCCTTTTAAGTTCCTGGGTTTTTTGTTTGTTTGTTTTGTTTAGTTTGGTGTTTTGTTTTTGAGACAGGATTTGTCTGTGTAGTCGTGGTTGTCCCTGGACTCACTATGTATACCATGCTAGCCTTGAACTCAGAGATCCACCTGTCCCTCCAAGTGCTGGGATTAAAGGTGTATGCCACCATGCCAAGCTAAGGTTGTTCTATAAGTATTTGGCACAGCGCTGAAAGAGTAACTGGTGTGCCACCTTAGCTTGGTGTCTTGGTTATTCCATTGCTGTGATGGAACACCATGGCCAAGGCATTTAACTGGGGGCTTGCTTACTGCTTCAGAGGGTGAGCTTGTGTCCGTCGTGGCAGGGAGTGTGAAGGCAGGCAGACCTGATACTGAGCAGTAGCTGAGAGCTTATATTCTGATCCCCAGGCAGGAGGCAGAGAGAAACTGGGCCTGATTAAACCTCAAAGCCCACTCCCAGTGACACACCTCCCACAACAAGGCCACGCCTCCTAATCCTTCCCAATCAGTTCCACAAACTTGTCAAACATTCAGATATTTGAGCCTATAGGGGCCATTCTCATTCAAACCACAAGAAGTCTTCACCAGTGGAACAGAACACCATTATACCATCAAGTCACACTGAGAACACATATCATTACTGTGGAATTCCTGCCAGACAATCAAAGTTGGAATCTAACATGAGCCAAACACAAACTGGAGATTATTCATCAAAATAGTCAGGGGTGGGGTTATAGCTTAGTCATAAAACACTTGCCTAGCATGCACAAAACCCCTGGTTCCATCCACACACACACACCCTCTGTCATTCACGCACGCACGCGCGCGCGCACACGCGCACACACACACACACACAGAGAGAGAGAGAGAGAGAGAGAGAGAGAGAGAGAGAGAGAGTCCATACTGTTCAAATAGGTCAGTTGCTCTAAAGAAGGCTGAAGAGACTTGGCAACTGAATGTAACGAGGTCTTGCAGGAGCAAAGGTGTCCTGGGTTGTATTTTGTTTTGTTTGGGTTTTTGTTTGTTTTTTGAGACAGGGTTTCTCTGTGTAGCCCTGGCTGTCCTGGAACTTGCTCTGTAGACCAAGCTGGTCTTGAACTCAGAGGTCTGCCTGCCTCTGTCTCCCGAGTTGGTTTCTATTTTGACAGACTATCATATAGTTTAAGATGCCCGCAGACATATTTTACAGCCAAAGGCTACTATGAACTCCTGATATTCCTGCCTCTACCTCCAGGGAGTGTTGGATTACAGTCATGTGCCACCGTGCCCAGTAATGCTGGAGGTCAACCCCAAGGCTTCACACGTGCCAGACATGCTCTCTTCCAGTTGAGCTGCGCACCCAGTGTGAATAGATCTTCCTGCTTTGTTTGGCTTTTTTGATGCAGGGTCTCTCTACATAGCCCTGACTGGCCTGGAACTCACTATGTAGACCAAGCTGATCTCAAATTCAGAGATCTGCCTGCCTCTGCTTCCTATGTACTGAGATTAAAGGCATGTATTACCCAGCTCTGTGAATAAGATCTTAATGTTAGTTTCCTTGATAGCTGAATTAAGGATATGAAAAAAGAAATATTTTAAATTTATTTATCTACTTATATATTGGGATTTTTTTGAGATAGGGTTTTTCTGTGTAGCTCTAGCTGTCTTGGAACTCATAGACCAGTCTAGCCTTGAACTCAGAGATCTGTCTGCCTCTGCCTCCTGAGTGCTCAAATTAAAGGTGTTCACCACTACCACCACCACCACCACCTGGATGCGTAGACTCTTTTTATCAAGCTGTGGGCTCATAGAAAGATCCTCAGTGATTCTATGAAAATCGACAGTGGGGTGTATTTTAAGAGGGGGTCCACCACTTTGCTAAACAAACACCAGACTAGTAACATTTTCTTTCGACACTATGATTTATAGCTGGGAACGTGATGCTGATTACATGAGGCTCAGGAATGGCCAATAGCCACAGGACAGAAATGTGATACAATGGTAAGAAACACAAAGATTCGGGGTATAGGAAAATGGCATTTGGTTTTAAGACCCTCTTTGACACCAAAGAGGAAGCAGGGCAGGCACCCTGCTGCTGACCCACATCACATTCAAGGCCTCCTTACTCTTCCACCCTGAGGTAGGTCAACTCCACTTTCCCCACTTTCCAGATGGGAAAATTGAAACAGAAAAGATAGCAAGAGTAAAGCTACCTGATGGTACAGAGGAGCAAGGGGGAGGTGGCGGTATGTCTGTCCACCCCTCAAACAAACCAGCAAACTAAGCTTCATCTTGCGAGCTGAGGCGTCCCTTCTTGTGCCTCATTAGAAGTGAGGGAAATCCCAGTTGTGACACTCCTTGGCCTCTGGCCGCCACCTGTGTCTGTCCACAGCAATTCACAGGCACGGAGTAAAGGGGCAGACGGAAGCAGTTCCTGCTTCCCAGGGAAAAAGGACAGAAGTCAGATTCGGAGATCCCCTGACTCCACACATCTTCAGCCATAGGCTTTATGGGGTGTGTGCCTGGAGGTGGAATGCGCCTCACCGGAAAGTTCTAGGTTATGCCTGCCCTCAAAGCCTAGACTTTCCTGCGCGGCCACCGACCTCCTGCCTGTGTCTTTCTTAAGCAAAGATTCGTAGCTCTTGGCCTCAGGCTCCTGAATCACTCAGTAACTGGTCATCTTTAACCAGAGCACTGCAGCAACAGAGCAGACTTCTGTGGGAAAATTTGGTCCCCCAAATGCCACACTGGCCAACAGTAATGGACCAGCTAACCTGACCTTGAACCTGTTCCAGGGAAATAGCCCCACCTATGTAACTTGAGGCTGAGATATCTTCCTTAAATGAGTCCCTAACTGCCCAGCTCAGAGCACCAGGATAACGTGGACTAGGCTATGGCAGGAGCAGGTGTATCTGCCAAGAAAAGCTCCACAAACCCCTTCCCTCCCTATTGTACAAAAAGGGCAGGGAAACACACAGGACCAACCGACTAAGGAGGAGGAGGATGACTCTCAGGATGCTGAGACAGTCCATGGGACACCACTGTGAACAGCCCCAGCCAGAGAAAACCTGAAGCCCTAAGGAGACAAGGTGCTAAGAGGGATAGGAGCCTCTAACTAGAACCTAAATTATCTACAGCAGAGATAAAATTCCGTCAGGAGGCCCACTCTGGTCTCACTGGTCAGGCCTCTATGTGTCTGACCAGTTGTCAGGATGGTGTAGACAGGAGCGGGGCCCTCTCCAAGGACCAGGACTGGTTGTAAAGGACTGGAGGGCTCTGTGTCATAGGAGAGTGACTCCACCCTTTCCTGGGGAGTCACACCCAGGCTCCCCTAACTAGGGAGTCCTACAGTAGGGCAGAAGCAGCATTCTGACCCCTTGTAGCAGCACACCCAATAAACAGCCATTTATAAGAACTCCAAATCTCAGCAAGCACCTGGGGAATGGCAGTCCTGGTAGCTACCAGTCACTTCCTTCTGGCCCAGAAGAGATGAAGGGGCCCAGAGAACGTTCTCGGGGGGGTCTCCAGAGCAGAATGAACACCTGGATGGCGATGCCAGCAGGGTGACAGCCAGAAGGGAAGATACGGTGCCTGGTGTCTCCTCCAACGTTCTAGGCATCCACATCCAGACCAGGTTCCTGGAAATGTGACTGCTTCCTCAAGTTAAGCCGGGCACACTTGGGGCACGTGGTTGAGTTGTCGTAATAGCAGTCCCTGAGGTTAGAAAGATAGGCTGGATTCTGCACGGAAAATGTTACGTCCTGGGCTAGCTCTCAGTATCTTCCTGCAAATCGGCAATCAAGCTCAGAGATGCTCACAACCATAGAGCAGAAGCAGAATCTACATCCAAGTATGATTTACCACAAAGCCTAGTACATAGGTGCTGGCCTCTACTAAAGAGTCAGGCTTCTAGTAATCGTACCCAGCTCTATGCTTTTTTTTTTTTTAAATTTGCATATTTGTACCTGAACACGTGAAGGTGGGCACACACACACCACGGGACACCCACGATACACCAGTGGAAGATAGGAACAACTTGCGGGAGGTGGTTTTTCTTCCACCGTGCAGGCTTCAGGGATCAGAACCAAGCAGGCTTGGCAGACAGCTCCTTTACCTACTGAGCCATCTTGTCAGTCCTCTGAGCTCTTTCTTATTCGGCCAACGCCATCATTTATCAACACTAATGCAGTGTCTACCTGTGATTCCCAAACTGTTTGTCCAAGTATAATAAGGCTCGGCAGACTCCTCTGTTATTTTGGTTTTTAAACTTTTCTCTTCAGGCATGAAGGGTAGCACAGGATTGGGCCCATCTGGCCTGTACTGATCCAGAAACAGTAACTCGACTGTAGGTGCAGAACAAAGCGGTAAGTGGACCCTGTGTGCGAGCCAGGGCCAGGAAGGCTCTAGAGGCTAATACGGGATATTTTAAGGAGCAGTGGTCCAGTGCAGGTGTTTATTCTCAATGGAACTTTTTTCCCCCTTGTGACAGGATCTCATGTAGGCCAAACTACCTCAATTGACCTTGCTATGTAGCTTAGGATGACTGAACTTGGATCCTTCCGCTATTGCCTCCCAAGCGCTAAGATTACAGGCATGTACTACCATGCCTCATTCTATTTTGCACTAGAAATCAAGCCTAAGGTTTCATGCATGCTAGGCTACATTCCTAGGCCCTTAATGGAAATTTTTTTAAAATAACTGATTTATTATCATCTTATGTGCATTGATAATTTGCCTGTAGGTATGTCCATGTGAGGGAGCCAGATCCCCTAGAATGGAGTTACAGACAGTTGTAAACTGCCACATGGGTGGTGGGAATTGAACTCGGGCCCTCCAGAAGAGCAACCAGTGCTCTTAACCTCTAAGCCAGCTCTCCAGCCCCCTTAATGGAACTTTTAATTTGGACGTAGACATCAGGGCCTAACTCCAGCAAAGGGCTCTGAAAACCAGACAGCAAAAGTCCAAATGTCTGCCTCCTGGGCAGCAGTGTGAGGTTCCACAAGACCAGCTGCAGCCAAGGGCGAGGGAAGGCATTCTGCTTAGAAGACAGGGAGGAGCCTTGAGTACTTAGCCAGAGTGAGCCACGGGCCACACCCACCTGTGGAAGACAGCTGAACAGTCGGTGCACACAGATGTATGGCTGTCAAAGGGGAACAGCACGTCGCCTTCTTTGCAGAGTTCGCACACAAACCCCTTGGCTTGGCACCGCTGTTGGAAAAAGAATCAGGATTAGTGACTGGCAAATAAATGCCAACTCAGGTCAGGAATACACTGGCCAATCCAGACCCTGAGGACTGGTGGACGGGACAGCTGAGAGTCTCCTCTAGATAGGGCCACGATCACAGAGGGCATGGGGAGACCCACCTCACAGTCCAGCTTGATGTGCTTGGCAAAGAGCGTGTGGATCTCCGTGAGGGAGCAGCTGAGGCGGCCCATGTGCACCTCCAAGAGGTCCTGGATAGAATACATCTCATCGTTCTCCACAAAATGCTGCCGGTCCTGGAGCTGTTGAGACCCAGCAGGTGTGACCCCGAATGCAGAGAAAGGGTTCCCCATTCCCCACCCATGGCCCAGAGTTCTTGTGGAAACCCGCAAGTTTCATAGGGCGTCTGTATAGGGACCTCAAGAGCCTGGAGAAGCCAAATGGTCGCTATGGCCACAGCAACATTTCCTGATCGATGCCCCATTTCACACATTGATAATGTCCCTCCAGCCACAATGGCTGCTCAGTGTGCCTTGCCGTTGACCATAGCTATCCGTGCCTCTTCCCGGTCCTGGTCTCTGTTTAACACCTTCCAGCTCACCCCACCCCTTGCTCTGCTTGCTTCTATGTACAGACTCACACCCTGACACACTGCCTATTTCCCTTGCCTTCCTGACCCATTGGCCATTCCCGAAGGGCCTGTTTGCTGACTGCTCTCATAATTTTGGGGGGATGGGGGTGGTTTCGAGACAGGGTTTCTGTGTGTAACAGTCCTAGCTGTCTTGGAACTTGCTGACTGTTCCCATAATTTATAACAGTGTCCTGAGATTACTTATTGAGCAAAGCAGTGAGTCTTTTTTTAATTTCTTTTTTTAAAGATTTATTTATTTATTATGTATACAACATTCTCCCTCCATGTATGCCCATACGCCAGAGGAGGGTGCCAGATCTCACTACAGATGGTTGTGAGCCACCATGTGGTTGCTGGGAATTGAACTCAGGACCTCTGGAAGAACAGTCAATGCTCTTAACCGCTGAGCCATCTCTCCAGCCCCCCTTTTTTAAAATTTCTATAACTTTATTTTAGGTGCATGAAGGTATCAGATCCCCTGGAACCGGAGTTACAGACACTTCTGAGCTGCCATGTGGGTGCTGGGATGTGAACCCAGGTCCTCAGGGAAGTGAACTCAGGTCCTCTGGGAGAGCAGCCAGTGCTCTTAACCACTAAGCCATCTCTCCAGCCCTAGTATGTGAGGCTTAAAACTTTTGTTCTGTACAGTCTGCCTGCTAAGGTGAAAGCCACCTCCATGAAGGCTCAACACAATGATTGCTTATCTTAGTTTCTCAAATTGAGATCATCAGAGAAGGCTGTTGTGTGCAGGATATTTGACAGTTTATTATGATGACCTTCCCAGAATAAAAAGTTCGGGAGACTTCTAGAAGCCTAACACATCTATCTACTCTGCTCTCTGAAGAGCCTGAGCAGGAAGAATCCTGTCACCCTGGCTCTCAGAGACCTGCCCCTTAGCATCCTGACCTGCAGCAGCAGCCGCGCCTCCATGGCCTCCTTGCAGGTGATGAAGTAAGGCTTCATGAGCAGGATGTCCTGGCGCAGCTTCTGCAGGCACAGACAACAGCGGACAGCTCAGCCATGGCACACGGGTGGCACCGTGGCTGTTTCTGTAAGGCTAAGGAGCTGGTTTTGTACTGGCTTCATAGGGGCCATGCTCACAAGTCTGCTTCTCCTTATACCATGGGTGACAGCAAGGGCAGTAGCGACTGGGGAAGGTGCCCTCAAATTCCACAAGATGGTCCTACATTTGAGTGGGTATCCAACCTCAAGGGCAAATCACAGTTTCTGGGCTACACAGGATCTTGAGGTCTGTTAAACTCGCCTCTTGAGATCTCCCATTCATGTCACTTTGCTCAGTCCCACAGATAAGCGGTGAGCCCACCCTGCTGCCTCAGCACTAAGTCATATCCAACAGAGTGGACCAAAATCCTAGGCCGATGCCTCGACCTTGACCATTCTCCTTGCTCTGCCTCAGACCCCTGCCCTAAAACATGGAATCAAAGTCCTTTCTACTACCTTGCCTACGTCATCAGCTCCTGCCTGACCTACAGCACCTTCTAACCTCTGCCCCGACTCTTCTGGCAACCAGTAGCTAAAGCCATACAGAGCTGCTGAAAATGTCTAGTTTTCACTTGGACTGCTATAAGTATAGGGTACACACTAGAATTCAATGTTACAATACACACAAAAAGAGAATAAAATATCTTGACAAGTTTGTATGTTGACTGCCTATTATAATATTTTGGTTCTATTTGGCTGAATAGACTTTTAGATAGGCGTAGAAGCACCAACCTGCTGTACGCCCACACTTGGAAGGTAGAGACAGGAGGGTCAGGGTTCAAGAGCAGCCTTAGCTATATATCAGGGCCAGCCTGAGCTACATGTTCTACAATGCCAGATGTATACAGTGCTGGGGACTTAACCCAGTGCTTCCTGCATCTAAGCTAGCAATTCTAACGAAGGAACTACATTCCCAGCCAGGTAGGTAAGTAGGTAGACAGATGATAGATGGTTGATTGATAAATGGATAGAATTAAAATTCTCTTTCTCTCTCCCTCTCCCCCTCCACACACTTTCTGATAGGCCCTCTGACTACCAAGCGCAGGCCGATCTCGCACTAATGATCCTTCTACCCATGTCCCCTAACATCACAGGGATGAGCCACCACCCTAGGTTCTGCTTTTCCTAAGAGATTATTAGCGAATTTAACATTGTCTCTATGGTTGTAATATTTTCGATTCAGCAGATAGACAAGGAGCCTGCAAAAGCAGGACACCTCCTCTGCTCAGAACCTCCCATTGCGACAAGCCCATCCGGACCCCGGACCCCTAACCGGGGCCCAGCCTCACCCGGATCTCCACCAGCTCTTCCACGTAGTTAAACAGCAGAGGGTTAATCTCCCGGAGCCGGAGCACTGGCCGAGACACCATCAGGGTCAGGTAGCGCATGCTGCAGCGGGACACCTGCAGGGGTAGCTGAGTGAGCTGCTCGCAGAGCTAGGGCTGGTGGGGCCAAAAACATGCCCGCCCTCTCCCTGCTCTCCCTCCCCAACCTCGAAGCCACCACATCTCCAAAGCCCAACCTTGCTCGGGACTTTCCCTCCCCACCCTCAGAGCTACCGCAGGTGGGACTCTCCCTCCCCACCCTCAGAGCCACCACATCTCCAGAGCCCAACCTTGCGCGGCTCGAAGTCCCAGTTGTGTACCACTCGCGCGGGGATGACGGCCAGGTCGTTCCAGTGGCAGTGACTGCAGTAGTACTGGCCGGTGTAGTCACACTGCCGGGCCTCACTAGGCACACCTCCTGTGGGGGCCAGGTGGTTACAAAGTCAGGGTAGCTATTAGGACCATGTGGTCCATGCTCCCTCACCAAGGCTGCAGTAAAGAGTAAGCTGAGTTAGGGGTTCCCTGCCCCACAGACTCAACTTACCCACTCCTACCCAGGAGGCCCTCAGCCATCCTAGTGTCCCAGCACCCTTTCTACTCATCAGCAAAATGAGACAACAGTAGTAAGACAGAAGGAACCCCTGCAGGGACCCCACAAGTTCATAGTAGTTAATTTTTCCATCTCTAGAATGTGATTATTTTTCATTTTCTTTTCTTCTGCACAGTTGGGATGAAACCAAGAACCTTATATATGCTAAGGCAAGCATTCTTTTCTTTCGCTTTATTTATTTATTATGTATACAGTGTTCTGTCTGCATGTATGCCTGCAGGCCAGAAGAGGGCACCAGATCTCATTACAGATGGTTGTGAGCCACCATATGGTTGCTGGGAATTGAACTCAGGACCCCTGAAAGAATAGCCAGTGCTCTTAACCTCTGAGCCATCTCTCCAGCCCATAAGCAAGCATTCTTACACTGAACCATATCCCCAGTGCTGTGTCATTTGTTCTCCCCTAGTCCTTGCCTTTGTGGGCTCTCTGTGACAGTGGGAAGACAAAGGCACTGTAGTCAGAGGTCAGACATCACCCCTGTGTAACATGACAGGGGCCGGCTTGTCGGGGTATCTGTCCCGCCCAGTGCTCAACAGCTGGCAAGCCCCAAAGGAAAATCAACCACACAGAGATCTCTATAAGTTATAAAACTGATTGGCCCATTAAGTCAGGCTACTTATTAGTTCTTATAACTTATCTTAACCCATTATTCTGATCTATGTTAGCCACATGGGCTCAGTACCTTTCTCGGTGTGACAGCTTACATGTTGCCTCTTCGGTGGTCTGTACAGGAATGGCTGAGAGAGCTTCTGCTTTCCAGAATACTCCCAGTCTCTTTGCTCCACCCCTACTTCCTGTCTGGCTTTCCCGCCTATACTGCCTGCCTGGCCAATCAGCGTTTTATTAAAATATGATTGACAGAATACAGACAATTCTCCCGCACCACCCCTGGAGAGACCTGGACAAGCCATGAAACAGCTCCAAACCATCTGTTCCAATGCAACCTGAAGGGGTGCCAGTAACTTCCCTTTGTGGCATCCCCAAAACAAGGCGCTTGGACGGTGCCGGCCCCAGGCCCTCACTCAGCTGCCGGGGTACAGCATCTCACACACCAACTGGGAGCCCCTCCTGGATCGTCATCTCTGCCACTGCTGTTCCCCAGCTTGGACGAGGACCCCATCTTTCACTCACGCAGGGAGATGGGAGCACGGCACTCGGCACAGCGGTAGTCCTGGCTGTCCAGCCCCGTCTCAGGGCAGATGTTCAGCTCATACTCAGCCTGGTGACTAACCTTGGAGCTGACACAGGGTTTGGAGATGAGGTTCAGGCACTTGCTGTGACAGCGGTAATAACACCCTGCAGCAGGAAAACACCATGTCTCTCAAAAGTCGCGGTGTGGATCGCCACAGCCTAGGATGGCCTTCAGTTGGACTGCTCTGCACAAATACCCCCTCAGATCCCTCCACCGTCCTCATTACCCAAGACTTTCTCCTTGTACTACTGAGTGGCTCAACCTTTCAAAGATCCTCACGTCTCTGGACCCTAAGCTTTGTCTCGTACTCATGACTCACACATCTAAAGTCAACCCACCAATAGCATCCATCAGACCCAAGCTATCCAATGAAGCTTCCTCTCTTACATCTCAACTGTCTTCTCTCATCTTCCATCTCAGGTTTCAGTGGCTCTATCCTTCTGGGGTTAAGACAACAACATGAGTCATCACTTAGTTCTGGAGCCACACTGACCTCACTCGCACAGTACCCAAGCTTCGCCAAAGACAATCCTCTCTTCCTTCCAGCTCAACTCATCAACCAGAGTCTAACTATTCACACACAGCAATGCCCTTAGTCCCCATACCTCATCCTTCCTCCTTAGATAATACTCCTGGTTTGGGCCCTGACTCCCAAGTGTTTGCTTAAATTGTCATATGAGTCTTTTCATTCTACCAAAAATAGTACCCACTGTACCTCTATAAGTCTTATTCCCTTTCCATTGTCCTTTACAGCACTGTCTGACTTACCAGCCCACTTCCTAATCTGGTTTCTCATACAGAACAGTCCCATCATTCTGCAATATTCCCTTTGTACTATCCAACATGGTAACCACCAGACTGGCCTGGCTACTGAGCATTGTGGCTACTGAGCATTTGTAAAGTAGATAACAAAACTAATCTACATATTCAACTCAGGTGAATTTAAATTTCAAAAACCATCTCTGATTCCTGCCATTATACTAGACAGCTCAGATCCAGAATCAGGGCCAGCGAAGGCAGGCACACTGGTCTCCTCAGCTTCTCTTATCTCCAGGGCACAGCAGTGCCTGACTCTCTGTACATTCCTGACAATTGGACATAAGCCACGTCTGGGAGCAGAGCTTATATAGGAGTGGGTCTTGGTCTTGGCCCACCTGTACAGGTGTACCAGGTCTGAATGAGGCCCCAGATAATGGTATTGCACTTATCACAGGTTTGCTTGACGCTCTTGCTCTTCTCCTTGTAGAAGCGGTGCTCTAGGAGAACCCGGATATTGGGTTCTTCCTCATTGGGATCCTGTAGGGGAAAAGCAATGGAAAGGTCATAGGTGAGCTAAGCTGTAGCTCCTTCCCTTCGCTCAGGAACCTCAGCAAATGTTTCAGGAACTGCTTGTAGCAGAGTTTGAGTTTCTGCCCAAACTCATGTTCCCCTTCTCTCTTTAGCAACAGAACAGAACAGGTAGCCAGGTACCAACTCTCAAGAACATACACTATGGGCCTTGGCCTGGAGGGATGGCTCAGCAGTTAAGAGCACTGGCTACTGTTCCAGAGGACCCGAGTTCAATTCCCAGAAACCACATGGTAGCTCACAACCATCTGTAATGATATCTGGTGCCCTCTTCTAGTGTACAGGCATACATGCAGGCAGAACACTGTATAAAAAAAAAAGACACGCACAATTTTTCCCAGCCTCTTTGCATCCAGGTGCTGTAAAGACCCGAGGGCCCAGGGCTCTAATATTTCTGGCTGTTGCCTGGATGAACTGAGTGGTCTTCTTTCATGAGGAAAACACATGTGTATCTCATTAAACTTCTGTATCTTGGAATATACTTACTATCATATATCCTTACCTAGTTCCCAGTGGATATTCTACCTTACACTCCCAGAGTTTCAGAGTCAGTACAAGGGACACAATAACAGCCAAGTCAAAAATCCCACACTTGGGATGACAACCTGGACCTCTGTGGCTGGACTGTATGATACACTGTTGCCTCCTGTCCACACCTTCAGGTTATCATTCCCCAGAGGTTGTAGGTCTAAAAGAATTGTCAACACACTTGCTTCAGTGGGTGGTCACAAAACTAACCAGTGGCTGTGATGGTTTCAGGAACAAGCACATAATCCAGGACTAATCAATTACTGTGAATGTTCCCTAAACTTGTGACCCATGCCTGGCCAATCAGTCATAACTGACCTCCTGCCCACACAAGGTAAACTTGTGGAAAGACAAGTTATCGGTTACTGAGGTCATCTCTGCCACCTCCGAGAGCCTCCCTGAAGGTGGATTCAAAACAAAATAGGTCAAAAGAGTCAAAAGAGTACAGGGTTCCTGACATTATTAGAAGCCTCCCCACCCCGAAATGGTTAACAAAACAATCTTTCCTCCTTTTGTTCTAAGCACCTTAGGATTGGGTTTCTGTCCCTCACAATCAGAGGAACTGTACTACCAGGGAAGTAACCAGCCTCCATTTTCATCCTGCTTTTTCTTCCTACCTCAGCCTTTCAGAGAACAGAGAAGACCCAGCCCCTGTAAGGAGCCATGGGCACCCCGTCCTCCTGCAGTTCCAGCCATGCTGCAGGCTGGTCTGCGGTAGAGCAGGTCCGCACCCACCTTCAGTTCCTGCAGCTTCAGCCGGAGGTGGATCAGCCTCACCACAGCATCTTTCTGCTTCTCTGACTGTTCCGGCAGCTCCAGAATCACCTGCTTGCACTCTTCAATTGCCTGCCGCAGCTGCTGGACATCAGAGGCCAGGAAAAGACCCTGCCCAGATTGGAAGGCTACAGTCAGATGACCACCTAGAAGTTCCTCCCCACAGAAGGTAAGCTGTCCTTGGGAGTAGTCAGGCATATAGCAGACCTCAGCTTGCTCAATTCCCAGGAGAGTTAAGAATCCACTCACAGTCAGGTGGTGGTGTGCGCCTTTGATTCCAGCACTCGGGAGGCAGAGGCAGGCGGATCTCCGTGAGTTCGAGGCCAGCCTGGTCTACAAGTGCTAGTTCCAGGACAGGCTTCAAAGCTACAGAGAAACCTTGTCTCAAAAAACCAAGGGAAAAAAAAAAAAAGAATTTACTCATGCTCCCTGCTCCTAGCTGCACCAATCTACCTGCAGCTGGGGCTGGGGCTCAGTTGATAAAATGCTTGCCTAGCATACATAAGGTCCCGGCTTTGGGCTCCAGCACCAAATAAACCTTACTTGATGGTCTGTGTAATCCAAACACTCAGGGTGTGGAGGCAAGGGTTAAATAGAACAAATTGGAGGTCAGACAGGGTTGGAGACTTGTCTCAAAAAATAGGAGGAAGAAGGGGAAAAAGGAGTTAAAAGTCATCTTTAGTTACATAGCAATTACATAACAAGTTTGAGGCCAACCTGGGCTGCTAGAGAACCTGTCATCAAGACAGAATAAGAGGCTGGGGAGATGACCTTCAGGTAAGTGCTTGTATGAGGATCTGAGCTGGGACCCCTGCACACAGATAAGACACTGAGTACAGCAGAACACATCTGTAATCCTAGTGCATGGGGAAATGGAAGCAAGCGATCCCAGTGGTCAGCTGGTCTTGCTGAGTAAGTGAGCTTCAGGCTCAGGGAGAGACTCTGATAAATAAATAAATAGAGTGGAGTAGGTGAGGCAGGGGCAAATCTGATCTACATAGTGAGTTCCAGCCCAGTCAGGACTGCATAGTGAGAGCCTATCTCAAATAAATAAGGTGAAGAGCAATAGAGGGTACCTACTGACAGCTGCCTCTACACACGTGTGTCATGTACTCATGTACCGACACATACACCAAACACACAATTAAGAAAATATTTTTTTTAAAAAATGCCAGGCCTGGGGGCGCAGGCCTTTAATCCAGCACTTGAGAGGCAGCACTTGGGTACATCTCTGAATTCCAAGCCAGCCTGGTCTACAGAGCCAGTTCCAGGACAGCCAAAGTACAGAGAAACCCTGTCTCATGGGGTGGGGGTGGGAATTATGGCTAAGAGCTGGGAGCGTTGCTCTGTAGGACAGTGCTTATCTAACATGCCAGAGGCTCCCAACATTGCACGCTTACGCACACACTTCCTCTTCAGAAATCTAAATCCAATAGCTTTTTTAGTCATGCTGTTTCATTTCTTACTTTCTTTTTGTTTGTTTGTTTGTTTTGTTTTGTTTTTGTTTTTCAGACAGGGTTTCTCTCTGTAGCTTTGGAGCCTGTCCTGGAACTCTCTTTGAGATCAGGCTGGCCTCAAACTCACAGAGATCCGCTTGCCTCTGCCCGCCGAATGCTGAGATTTAAGGTGTGCTCCACCACCTCCCGGGGCTGTTTCATTTCTAAAAAGAAAGCTGAGAAAAGAGGAAGAGGCCTCTGACTTAAAGACCAAGCAGCTGGCGAAAGAAGCAACCTAAAGCAGCTCACCCCAGACTCGGCACCTCTGAGTGCTTTCTCACAGACTGACCCAGAAGCTCAGAGCCTCGCTAAGGCTTCAGACCTAGAATGCTGTTTCCAGGTTCAGATCTCAGAGCTGCTGTGGGTGTGGGTGTAGGTGTCAGCTGACTCTGCCCTCAAGAGAGAGGTACAGTCTTCCTTCCACACAGTGGGCTTTCGAAAGACCCAGGCAGAAAGACAGTGGTGCCCTTCCTTCCGCACTGGAGCTCACTTTGTGGCTAAGAGGAACTCCGAGACATGCTCTCAAAACCACTCTGGGCTTGACTAACCACTTGAGAGGCTGAGGCAGGAGGACAAAAAACTCAAGACCTGCCTGGACTACAAGGAAGTTTTAGGCTAGCCTTAGAAGCTTAGGTAGAATTAATTTCAAAATGAAAAGTTAAAAATGGGAAACTGAGGGCTGGAGCGACGGCTCAGCCGGTAAGAGCACTTGCTCCTAACTGGTGTGGTGGTAGTGGCCCATGCCTTTAATCCCAGCACTCGAGGAGGCTGAGGCGGACAGATCTCTGGTTCAAGGCCAGCCTGGTCTAGAGTGTGCCCCAGAACAGCCAGGGATACACAGAGAAATGCTGCCTTGAAAAACCTAGAGGGGAAAAAAACCACTAGTTCCTCCTGCAGAGAATCCTGAATTCAGTTCCCAGTACCCGCAGAGGGGTTCACAGCTGTCTATAATTCCAGCTCCAAGGGATCCAATTCCCTCTCTGGCCCCACAGGCACACAAGTGGTGTACATACATATATGCAGCCATTCACAAATACACACAAAACAAAAATAAATAAATAATTTTTTTTTGGTTTTTTTTCCGAGACAAAGTTTCTCTGTAGCTTTGGAGCCTGTCCTGGAACTAGCTCTTATAGACCAGATCAGCCTTGAACTCACAGAAATCCGCCTGCCTCTGCCTCCCAAGGGCTGGGATTAAAGGTGTGTGCCATCACCGCCTGGAAAAATAAATGTTTTTTTATAAGAGAGGTTTGAGGCTGGGGATACAGCTCAGATGGAGAGCTCTTGCCTAGCATGCATGAGGCTCTGAGTCTAAGCCCTAGTGTGTACAGACACACATAAAAATTACATACACACAAGGCACACGTAGTGGCACACACGTTTGATCCCAGCACTCAGGAGTCAGAGGCAGGTAGATCTCTGTGAGTTCATGGCCAGCCTGGTTGACATAGTGAGTTCTAGGACAGCCAGAGCTACATAGTAAGACCCTGTCTCAGAAAAAAATTATATTCACATATATAGTATATGCATACATCTGCATGAACAAAGCCTAAAGGTCACATAAATAAATGAAAACTCCCAGGCATGGTGGCACATAGCACTATTCCTGGCACTCAGGAGTCAGAGGCAGGTGGATGTCTGTGAGCAGGGACATTCTGGTTTACATTGTGAGTTCCAGGCTAGCCAAAGTAATACGGTGAGACCCAGTCTCTAAATAAATACAAACAAACAAACAAATAAATAAATATAAAAGAGGAGCCCCGCTGCCCTTCCCCAAACTGTCTCTAGACCTTCAGATTCTGAAGATGAAGGCCAGGTGCCACATCTGTTTCATATTCGAAACCCAGGAGCCTTGGCTGACTTGGGAGCCATTGAGCCCAACAGAAGCAGCTAGCTAGAAAGGAAGCTGCACTGCAGCTCTAGAGTGTTTGGACCACTAGCGCCTGGAAGTGCTGTGATGAGGCTAACACCTAAGGAAGGGTCTAGACTCCAGAACTTACCACAGGGCGGGAAAAGTGGTCTTCAGACAGGCCAAGATCCATCACGCGCTCAGAGTAGTGGAACTCAGGCTCCCCAGCGGGCAGCTCAGGCAGAGTCTCTGGAGTGAGAGGACATGAATGAAAGGGGGCAAAAGGTCCACCTGCTGCTCTTTCTCCTCATTACCCACAGACGTGGCTGGGCTGAATAGAATTGAGTCAGAGTGTAAAGGTCTGCTCTGTCCCTTTAAGAGACAAGCCACGCCCACTCCCTCCCCTGTCCACTGAGGCAAGCTGATCTTCAACTTCCAACCTGAGTCCCTCCTCTTATCCCATATTCTCTCTCTCCCTCCCCCCCCTCCTCCCCTCCCTCCCTTCCCTCCCTCCCTCAGAGGCAGCTTCTGTCTCTCCCTTCTCCCCATTTCCCCCCCTTCTCCCTCCATAACCCACTAAATATATAGCCAACTCACTCTGCATGCTGTCTATCTCTTGGCTACCGCGTGGCTCCCTGCCAGGGACCAGTCACCTTCGGAGACCTGCGGCGTGGTCTCGTGGCGTGCCCATCCATTTGTCTTTCCTCGTGGGTCTAGCTGCCCCATCGAGGTCTCTCACCCACCTCGCGGCTCCCTGCCTGGGCTGGAACTTCCTGCCCCTCATGGCCCACTGCAGCCACTTGGGGAACTGCGCCGTCCCTGCCTGGGAATGGCAGCTTTCGGGACCCACTGCCCGCCGCCACTTTGGGAGTCTGCAGCATTTTACTTAAACCATAACACAGAGGTGCCCACAGAAAGTGGGGACCACTTAGCTGTCTGTTTCTGTCTGGTTGGTGTTTGCAAAGGACTCTGTCTCACTGTGGAGACCAGAAAGCACTAATCAGAATTACAAGTGAAGGGTTCCAGTTTCTGATCCCCTAGTAGGAAGTCTGACTCTTGGGTGCTTTGCTAAAACAAAAATAACAACAAAACCTTATGAACCAATACTGGGTATCTTAGAGAGATCCACAAGATAGCATCACAGAGCCATCCCAAACTGGGAGTGGCCATACACGCCTGCGATCCCAGCAGCTGAGAAGCTGAAACAGAATCACCAGTGTCAGGCCAACCTTGGCTATATACAGAGACCTGGTCTCTAAATAAACAGATGAATAATCCCAATTTCTAAGACGAGACACCACCAACTGCCTAAATCACAAAATTCATGAAGTCCTGTGTGAACTTCAGGCCACCCTGACAACTGCTCTGGTCCCAACACTCTTAACTACTTTATCCAAAAATGACTGCCCTCGTCCCTTTCTGACCCCAAGGAGGTGAGGGTCTATCCACAGACATTTCACCCACTGGACTCTTCTCCCGAGACCTTAGCTCTGAGTTTGCTCTAGTGTTCACTAAGAACATACAGTGTGAGGACCGGGAACTCAACGGTGATTCTCCAGACTCAGATCCCTGCCATCTAGAAAGTGTTTATTCTGGTAAGGAAGACAAAGGAGAACCTCGGAGCAGGTGGGAAGGGTCACGTGCAGAAAGAGTGGCAGGGCAGGTCTAAGGTGTCAGATCTCACAGCCCTCACTCTGCACCAGCGCTCACCTTCAGAAGTGACTTCTTGGGCCTTCCCACTGGGTTCCTGTTCATGTTGCCTTGGTCCAAGTGGCTTGTTGAAAGGGTTGAGGTGGGCCTGCCGGAACCGAGCCAACTTCTCATCATATTCCATAGCATCCCACCTGTGGGGCCCAGCAGGACTGAGATGAGTGTCCAGGCGCGCCATGACCCATCCCTCTTCTCCAGTGTCCTCTCTCCCTTCCCAGAGGCTGGGGGACAGTGCAGGGCAACTCCACAAAGCAGCCTCAATCCTTATCCTCCCCACAGGCCGCCTCAGCTCCTCTAACCGGGCTCTACAGATAGTGTTCTCTCGGTGATGAGGGCTGACCCAGGGTTCAGGCGTATTCCAGGGTGCCAGATGCAAAGTCTAGAATCCTAGGCCCTGCTCCTATGCAGGGGCTCCTTTGGCCCCAGATGCTGGAGGGCTCTAGCCCTGGAGCTACTCAGTAGGCTCTTTGCTAGGCCTCAAATGGCACATTTCTCACATGACCCCAATCCAGCCAGGCCCTTGCTACTAGCCTGTTCCTAGGAGAGTCACCTCTTGGGACTGGATCTTCCTTCCTGTCCCCTTACTTGAGTTGTTCCATATAAAGCAGAGACCCAAGAATATCAACCCTGCTAGAGTGTTCACCAGTGACTTCTCTGAAGCCAAATCCAAAGCCCATCCTTGTCCTGCTACGGGCGGAGTGACCTAGGCACTCTTCCCTGGTCCCAGCAATGCATCTAGGTTCCAGTAGAGGCTTGTACCTCTTGGGCCTGTGTTCCAGTTCTGCCTCAGAACCACACGGTTTGAGTTATTCCTCTAGCTTCCCGCCCTAGGATCCCACATAGTAGGAAAGTGTTTAGCTTCCCATTTCTAAGAAGATCACTAGGCTCGTTCCCCTCCCTAGAGCTCAGCCTACACTGGGAACACAAAGCTGGTGGTTCCTGGCAAAAAGGGAGGGGCTGGATCTGAGTAAAACAGAAGCAGCTGGAATGCAGTTCTCCCCTTATCTAGTTAGGCCTCATTCCATAGCGTCTCTCTGCCTGTTTCCTCACCCAGAGGTGGGTCACTGTGGGTGAACTTAGTTCTCAGGCACTCAGCACAACAGATATGGGTGGCGTTCACCAATCCCAGTGTTTGGGAGGCAGAGGCAAGCAGATCTCTTTGAGTTCAGGCTAGCCTGGCCTACAAAGCAAGTCCAGTTCTAGGACAGCGAGGGCTACACAGAGAAACTCTATCTTGAAAAAAAGACAAAAAAAGAAAATGTGCTGGGCGGTGGTGGTGCACGCCTTTAATCCCAACACTCGGGAGGCAGAGGCAGGCGGATCTCTGTGAGTTCGAGGTCAGCCTGGTCTACAAGAGTTAGTTCCAGGACAGGCTCCAGAGCTACAGAGAAACCCTGACTCAGAAAACAAACAAACAAACAAACAACAACAACAAAAAATTATGACTCTTTCTCTGCTCTTCCACTTGAAAGTGAAAGCCCAAGAGCGGCTGGCCCTGCTCGGGTCTCACTGTGTGGAGTGGGAACCTGTACTGATGGCCTCTCTCAGCATCTGCATGGGCCCTCTCCAGAGCCATGTGCCCCATAGGACTCCCATAGGAGTCCTGCTGCCTTTGCCTCTGTCAACAGAAGGCCGAAGGCAGTGGTTCTCAACCTATGGGTCTTGGCCCCTTGGGCATGGTGGGGTTGAATGACCTTTTCACAGGGGTCACATATCAGATATCCTGCACATCAGATATTTACATTATGGTTCATAACAGTGACAAAATTATAGCTATGAAGTAGCACCAAAAATAATTTTATGGTTTGGGGGTCACCACACATGAGGAACTGTGTTCAAGGGCCAAAATGTTAGGAAGGTTGAGAATCACTGGCCTAAGGGGACGCAGGTGCCCTGGGCTGATGACTTTGGGTAAGTCACACAGTGTGCAACAGTCAGGGGTCCCCAACTAATGCCCAGCACCTCCCAAGAATCCTAAGGAATAGCCAGGGTGCAGGAGAGACTCGGCCACCCCCGCGTTCACTCACCCTTTCATCCTGAGTGAGGAGTCGTCATTGTGACATGATTTCCCAGTCTTCCCTGCACCTAGGCATGGTAACACGACTACGTTCTGATCAATAGGACGTGAGGAGGAGAACGATCACTCGGGACTTCTCAGAACTGTTCTTCCGCCCTTCCTCCTCCGTCTGGAATGCAGATGTAAGGGATGAAGCTGGCACGAGCACCTGGAGCTATGTCAGAAGCCGCAAATGAGCACTGCCATGTAACACGACCCAAAGCAACTCCATCTAGCTTAGAACTGCTAAGTCAAGTAGGCAGCTTTCAGTCAAGTCAGGCAGAAACAAGCCTGTTTAGATCACTGCTATTGGAAGGGAGAGTTCTTGTTCCTTGTAGCCAAAATAGAGTCTAATAGATGGCTCCAGCCCCTCATATGGCTAAGATGAACAGCCTCGACGTGAATGCTAGCTCTGCCAGCCCCACAGCCTTTCTCTGCTCCCAATGTCTCATGTCTCAAAAGAGGAATTATAATAGTACCACGCAGGGTTAGGCAGTAAATAGGGACAAGACAATCACGGGGGGAAAGACACAGACACTCTCTGCCCTTAATCTGTAAAGCCTGCTATTCACCCAGTTCCTCCCCTCTTGTTAGCACTCTGCAGATGCACCCACTGCCCTCCTCTTACTGCAAGAGAAAACTCCACCGGGCATGGGATAGGACAGGAGCTCTCCAAGGACAAACTGGCCATCTATCTCCATCTTACATGGGAAAATCCCCTTCAACAACAAGAAAGACGTTTCTTTAAAAAATAAGAAACCCTGTCTCAAAAAACAAAACACTAAAACAAATCTATGTATACATAATGGGCAGGGCATGGTGACACAGGCCTTTAATTACAGGCAGAGGCAGGCGGATATCTGTGAGTTCAAGGCCAGCCTGTATTATATAACAAGTTGCAGGTGAGCCAAAGAAACACGGTGCAGCCCTGTTTTAAAGTCTCATGACCAACAAATCCCGCCCCCCCAAAACAAACAAAAGTAATAAAACACCTTCAGTTTTCTCAAACTCTCTCCTCTGGAATTAAAACATCTGCCTAACAGTTCTGTAACCACCAAGACAACCTCCATAGGGTCTAGTATGAAGATTGTTATAACAATTAAATTCATTAATAAAAAGTCCCAAGTCAGATTGCGATGGCACACACCTTTAATTTCAGAACTCTGGAAGCAGTGGCAGGCAGATCTCTGTGAGTTCGAGGCAAGTGTGGTCTACAAAGTGAGTCCCAGGGCAGCTAGAGCTGTTACACAGAGAAACCCTGTTTTGAAAAACCAAAATAATAATAAAAATAATAAACAAATAAAATGAATCAATATATGGCCCTAATCTCTTGGCTGGAAGTTGGGGAGTAGTCCAAGGTAGAAAGGAAGGATGAGGGTGTAGTTTGGTAACACCAGAAACCGGGGTTGCAGCTGAGCAGTACTGACAGTCTGAGGTCAGCCCAATCTAAAAGGAGCTGGGTGAAGCGTGCGGGAGCCACTCCCAGAAGCCTTCCCTGGAAACCTCCTGATATTTTAGAATACAGTCAGAGAGGCAAAAAGGCCTTGGCAAGAATACTTGTCAGCAACTCTCCTCTGGGCGACTTTCCCCAAGAAAAAGGTTCCCTTACCCTTTTCTGATTGGCACCGCCATCACCTGATCTGGAACAAAAGCAGGGGATGTATTAAGCAACGGAGTCATTTGACCTGTCTGCCTAGTTTGGCTGGAATGAGTTTGGAGAATCATATTGCACGGACAACTGAGAACAAAGAGACAACATCCCAGCCTTGGCTGCTGGAAGCAACAGCTGGCTTTGAGTATGACACCATTTCCTATTTCCCCACCCATCTCACAGAGCTCTGCAGAATTCATGGTTCGCCTCAAGGAAAGGGAAAACACAAAACAAAACTCTATTCCATCATGCCCTTGCAGAGCCCTCTTCTAAAGCTGATAACAACAGTTGAAACCCTCGGAGGAAAGATCGAGGGTCTACGGACGCATCAGAAGTACTAGGCGCAAATTCAGGGCGTGTTTCTGATATCAAGAGCCAGAGTCCCATGTGTTACCGTGGGTTCAGCAAGAAAAAAGTGTGAGTACAAGGACCACAGGAGGATCTGGTAAGGAACAAGGTAGATCCTATCTGATCATACTTGTAACAAGGATGGACGAGAAATACGAGCCAATCGGAGCCAGGGTTAACCATTCTCAACTACCCAAGCAGGTGCAGCAACCCCAGAACCGCACCTCACACTTATACCCACTACAATATGAATTCATTCTGAGGATGCTCCTGTCCTCACTGGTGCAGCTCTGTATGACATTCCTCACCTATTTCATAGCTGTGAAACCGAAAGCTCAGAAAAGTCCAATATCGCAAGAGGGCAAATAGTCCTGTGGTGCTTGGCTCCGGAGCCCCACACACAGTCTCTGACTGCCTCCCGGGGGCTGAAGGGGCGGGGGTCCCCATCAGTGGATGCTAAGCTTTGCCCCACGTAATGCGGGGACCAATGAGGTCACCAAGGCCTTGCTCACAGCGGAGAGCCAGCAGGCGGCAGCCTGGAGCTGGACGTCTAGCTTGAGGCCTCTGCCAGTTCTGCGCCCTGGGTGCGCGCGACAGAACTGGATCCTGGAGTCCGGCAAGTGGTGATCGCGTGCCGAGATCTGTACCCTCGCCTGCTTCCCCACCAGACCCACCAGTCGCCTGCGGAGGCCACTCCGCCGCTTACCTGGCTGCCGCTACATTGTACCGGACCGGCTGGCTACACTGTACTCCGTTGCCGCTGCTACACTGTACCGGCTCCGCCGCCCGTTGCTGCCGCCTCCGGCCAGGAGGTTCATAACACCGGCTGTGCCTCTGGCTCTTTTGATGTGCTTCCAAAATCCTGTCTCAGGGCTATGAGGTGCTTTTCTCGCTTCTGGAAAAAATTTCTTCCACTGGTAATTGCGTTCAAGCGAATGGCTCCGCAGTGGCAAACCCCTCAACGTTCCCACAACTCCAACAATGACATTCAATTGTCTCCAGGACACCACCGTGTAGACACATAACACCTCTCTTTGATAGAACCACACACACACACACACACACACACACACACACCCCTCTCTTTGATAGCAGGTGAATCATTCCCATTGAATGCACCTTAGTGCATTCCTAATCACGTTCCCCAGATGCTTTGTCAGGCCTGACTTCCAATGCCCACTCCATGGTAACCACCACAGCCATGGCAGCCTCACTATCCTCAGCTTCCCCCAAGTCTCAGCCCGGCAACTAAAAGTGTCCTGGAGAAGTCTGCCTCAGACTTTGCCTCCCAGCTCTCTCACTAGCCTCTCTCTTCAGCCCTAACAAGCCAGGTCCACACTTAGGACCCTCTCCTGCTCACCCTCTATGAAACACTCTTTCCTAACGACAGCCCAACGTCTCCCCAACACCTTCATCCTCGGTTGTCAGCAGAGGACTCTGAAAGGCACAGCCCTTTTCCTACTCATCACTGTCTGATAGCCCCCTCTTACATTTGTACTTACTCTCTGTTCCTCATCCCCAAAGCTAAGAGCTAAAGGCAAGCATTTTGTATTCTTTCTTCAGTCCTGGAAGCCTAGACCAGTGCTTGGACCCAAGGGTGCTAGTCACACAGGCCCAGGAACAATTGAATCCCCAGGTGAGGATGGTCTGAGCGGAAATGGTCTCCTTAGCAGGTGGACTACTCCATAGCCAGTTAGTAACAGTTACTGATATGAACCAGTATCTATAGTAGCAGTGGAACCTGTCCCTCACCTTCAAGGAGAGTCAGGGATGAACCCAGTTCTGCCTCTTTCTCAATTACCAGAGGTTTCGACTATTTTTCCTTTGATTCAACAGCATTTGTATTGATCACCAACTATATGTTATGCTCTGGCAACACCCAGAAAATAATACAGAGAAGACTTGATGAGGTTTCAGTACCCAAAGACCAGACAGACAGGTAAAAGAGATACATCAATCAGGTGTGTGTTGAGCATCAAGAAGGAAACACAGGCTGATAACGCAGCACCTATGATTGGAGAGGGAGACTTAAGATTTAAAGGGTAGAGCTGGGCGGTGATGGTGCACGCCTTTAATCCCAGCACTCAGGAGGCAGAGGTAGTTAGATCTCTGTGAGTTCGAGACCAGCCTGGTCTACAAGAGCTAGTTCCAGGACAGGCTCCAAAGCTACAAAAAACCCTGTCTCGAAAAGCCACAAAAAAAAAAAATTAAAGAGTGGGGACCAGAGAGGTGGCTCAGCGGTTTAGAGCATTGCCTGTTCTTCCAAAGGTCCTGAGTTCAATTCCTAGCAACCACATGGTGGCTCACAGCCACCTGTAATAAGATCTGGTGCCTTCTTCTAGTGTACAGGCACACATGCAGGCAGAGTACTATGTACATAACAAATAAATAAATCTTTTAAGATAAAAAGAGAAGAGAGGGGAAAAATGAAAGGAAAAATGAAAGACTTGGAAGGTAGTCGTGCACAGAAGGTCCACACTCCGCCGTGTCTCTAGTGATCCCCAGGAAGTTCTGGTACTTTTTCTGAGTACTCAACACCAACGTCGATGGGCGGCAGAAAATTGCCTTGGCCATCACTGCCATTAGGGCTTGGGGTGTTGATATGCTCACGTGGTGTTGAGGAAAGCAGACATTGACCTCACCAAGAGGGCTGGAGAGCTCACGGAGGACGAGGTGGAGCGTGTGATCACCCTCATTCATAACCCACAACAGTACCAGATCCCAGACTTATTCTTGAACAGACAGAAGGATGTGAAGGACAGAAAGTACAGGTTCTGGCCAATGGTCTAGACAACAAGCTACGTGAAGACCTGAAGATTGGAGTCCATAGGGTGCTGTGCCACTTTGGGAACCTTCGTGTCTGAGGTCAGCACACAACATCACTGGCTGCTGGGGCTTACTGTGGGTATATTCAAGAAGAAATGAGTCCCTGGGCCTTCACTGTTAAAAAATAGTTTATAGACTTGTGGGGGGGATTTGAAGGGTAAGAACACGAGAAACACTTTAAAAATGAGATTTGGGAGATGGCGGCATCATAGTTACCTTTCTGCTCCCACAAAAAGACACCATGGCCAAGACAACTCTTACTTATAGAAGGAAACGGCTTGCTTATAGTTTCAGAGTCAAACATGGTGCTGGAGCAGTAGCTAAAAGCTTGTATCCTGATTCACAGCGAGAGAGAAGGAAAGAAGGAGAGAGGGAAAAAGAGAGAAGGAGAGAGACAGACAGAGATAGAGAGACAGAGAGCCTGGGCCTGGCATGGGCTTTTGAAACTCAAAAACCACCCCAGCGACAAAAGCTTCTGATTCTTCCCAAAACAAGTTCTATGATCCAGGGTCCAAGAATTGTAATATGTGAACCTGTGGGGCCATTCTCATTCAGACCTCACAGGCAGTAAGGCCTGTAACCCCCAAAATTAGAAGGTAGTGGTAGGATTATTGGAAGTTCAAGGCTAGGCTTAGTTAGCTACATGAGAGTTCAAGGCTACTCTAGACTACCTAAGACCCTGTCTCAGAAAAAAAATTAAAAAAGGAAAATTGGGGGGGTTTAAATAAGAAGAGCTCCCATAGGCTCATCAGAGTGAAGGCTTAGTCATCAGGGAATGGCACTACTTGAGAGGGATTAGGAGATGTGGCTTTGTTGGAATAAGTATGATCTTGTTGGATTAAGTGTATCACTGAAGTTTCAAAAGCCCAAGCAGGCCCAGCGTCCCTCTCTTCCTGATACCTGTGGATCCAGATGTAAAACTCTCAGATACCTCTCCAGTACCATGTGTGCCTGCATGCGGCCATGCTCCCCACCATGATGAAACTGTAAGTAAGCCCCAATTAAATGCTATCTTTCATGAGTTACCATGGTCATGGTGTCTGTCTTCGTCAGTGTTCTATTGCTGTGAGGAGACACTATCACCATGGCAACTCTTATAAAGGAAAACATTTAATTGGGGGCTGGCTTACAGTTCAGAGGTTTAATTCATTTTCATTACGGCAGTAAGCATGGTGGTGCGCAGGCAGATGTGGTGCTGGAAAGGTTCATGAGAGTTCTACATCTGCATCCAGAAGCAGCAGGAAGAGGGAGTGAGACCCTGGGCCTGGTGTGAGCATCTTAAACCTCCAAGTCTGCTCCCAGAGACTCACTTCCTTCAAGACCATATCAATTGCTGCAAGGCCTCCAATAA